CTGTCAACTGGAGAATCAATAATCTACTCCGATATTGTCACACAGACGACAACCACGAGCACACTGTGTTTTGGAGTGGCTATCGTGATACCTCCAACAGCATCGAAGACCCGCACGCAGTGGGAAGCAATCTCCCTCTGCATCACGATCAGGATCATGACAGCAAGGTTCAACTCAAAAGGAAGGAAGGTCACAATCATACAATGCGACTCCATGCACCTACAAATAATGCAGAGAAAGAGAAAAAGGAGGAATTCCACACACAACTGCAATCAACACTGGAAAAGACCCACCCCAGTTGGCAACATCAAAATTCTAATGGGTGGGGTGACATGAATGCCAAACTGGGAGTAGACAACACAGGAAGAGAACTAACCATGGGTCGAGAAGCACTCGGTGAGGTGATGAACGAGAATGGAGAATTGTTTGCAGAATTCTGTGCATTCAATGATTTGGTGATTGGAGTCAGGCAGTGTGTTCAAGCACGAGGATATCCACAAAGCGAGCGACATGGATTTCACCAGACACCAGGACACACTAAAAATCAGGTCGACTTCATCTCAATCTCAAGATAATGGAGACGCAGTCTACTTGACACAAGGTTAAGAAGAGGAGCAGATGTGGGTTCAGACCACTATCTAGTGCAAGGAACCTGCCTTCCAAATCAAGTTGAAAGCCTTCAAGGAAGCTGGTGATAGAGCGCAATTCAAATACATCACTCGAAAACTGAATGATGAGACTACAAGGGACATCTTCACGGCAGCCATCAAGACAAAATGGGAGATACCAAGCAACATCCCTGAAGAAACCTGTATGGAGGAACACTGGAAGTCTTTGAAAGCTATGTGGAAAGAAACCTGCACAGCCGTATTAGGAAGGAAGAAGAAAGAGGACAAGGAATGGATCTCGACGGATACATGGAAGCTGACAGAGCAGGGAGAGGAAGATGGCGATGGTGAAGCAGAAGACAAACCAGTGCAAGGATGCTCAACGACAAGAGGAACTGAGCACAATATATAAAACACTACACTGGACAAAGAAGTGAAGAAGAGTGCACGCAAAGACTAAAGACACTTCTAGGAAACACTGGCAAGTGAAGCAGAACAGGCTGCAGGTAGGAAAGACAGAAACCTGACAACATTGTATCAAATAACCAGGTTGCTACTATCTGGAAGGGAAGAGATCAACGCAGACGAAACCAATGAAAGGTGATGAAGGAAATTTAATTACGAAAGAAGAGAAACAAAGGAAACAGTGGGCAGACCACTTCAAGAAGCTCTTGAATTGACCACCACCACCACCACCACCACCATCACCTGCACTTCGTCCAGTAATACCACCTACAGCCGCTGAACTACCAGTGAACATAAATCCTCCAAACAAAAGTCGAAATCCTGAACGCCATAAAGCTACTGAAATGTGGGAAAGCAGCAGGACCAGATGGAATCCCGTCAGAAGCACTGAGAGCAGACGCAGAGACAACAGTGGACATGCTGACACCACTACTCCAGAAGGTGTGGAAGGAAGGAAGGTACCTGCCCATTGATTGTAAGAAGGGCTACCTTGCCAAACTCCCAAAGAAGGGAGACCTCAGTGTTTGCAAGAACCGACGCGGAATCACTCTCCTGTCCACCCCATGCAAGCAAAATATTATGCCGCATCAACCTGGAGAGGTTGAAGGATGAGCTGGATGCAAAACTGCGACCGAAACAGGCAGGCTTCACGAAGTACAAATCATGTGTGGACCAAATTGCAACGCTACACTACGCGTCATCATAGAACAGAGTATAGAATGACAGTCAAATCCACACCTCAACTTCATCGACTTTGAGAAGCCTTTGACAGCGTCGACCGAGAGGTAATTTGGAAACTACTTCAATACTACGGAATACCACAAACCTTTATCAGCCTCATTCAACAACTATATGAAGACGCCACATACCAGCCAAGTAATTCACAATGGGAAGCTCAGCTCAGTGATGCTTTTGAAGTGAAGACAGGAGTGAAACAAGGTTGCCTACTATCCCCCATGATATTCCTGATTGTGGTCGACTGTGCTGGATCATGCAGCAGACAACAGTGGGGAGCTGTGAGAATAGGGGGATACACTGGATGGCTGGACTGCGGAAAAGAACCTAGAAGATCTGGATTTCGCCACCGATGACTCGTCCCTGATGTCACACAAACTTGAAGATCTACAGGCGGAAACTAACAAGTTGGCAGAAGAGGTAGCAAAGATAGGGCTTCAAGTGGACGTAGAAAAAATAGAGGTGATGAAGATACCGCACCAAAAACTCCCACAACAACAACAACAACAAACTCCAATCACCATGAACGGGAGAAACTTAAAGGAAGTAACCTCCTTCATCTATCTAGGCAGCACTGTCTCAACTACAGGCGGCACAGGCACAGACGAGGATGTCAAAGTCAGCCAGGATCGGAAAAGCAAGACAGGCGTTCATCAGCCTGAAACCAGTGTGCAGATCTGCTTCACTGCACTCAACATGTGGAACAACATCCGGATTTTCAACACCAACCCTGTCAAGTCAGTGCTTCTGTGTGATTGTTGAGAGACTTGGCACGTTACGAAAGGGATATCCAATAAACTACAGATATTCATCAACAACTGCTTACGCTGGCTCGCTACTGAAGATCAGATGGCCAGAATAATGAGAATAAGCAACAAGGAACTCTGGCTGGGTAACGAAACAACCAAGAACCTATCACCCAACAAATATGCAGTAGGAGGAAGTGGAGATGGATTGGAGTGGGCATACACTGAGAAGGTCGACTGGGGACATCACGCGTCAGGCCAGTTGCTCGAGTGGAACCCCCATGGTAAGCGACGAGTTGGGTGTCTGAGGTGAGAGTGACTTGGAGGAGATCGTGTGCGGAGCAAATGAGAGTTTGTGGACTGTCATGGATGCAGGTTGAAAATATTTCAGAGAACAGAGTTCACTGGCGATGTGCTACTGAAGCCTAATGTTCCATAAGGAACCCAAGGGACTAATAGTAATAAAATAATAAGGTCGGACAGAAAACAATGAACGTAACATAAACCATATCTCACTGTGCAGTGGTTGCCAAGCAATTATTTACGCTATCAAACATGTCTACTCAAACTCACACAACAGTATAAGAGGTTGTGAAACGTTGTCAGATGAGCTGACGACAACTAGCGATGTCCGATAGAGATGCTCATTGTCACCATTGGTGTTTAACTTCGTCATAGACGTACCAATGGACAATCTTAGGTACGACTGACTTCATTGAGTTTGGCTGGCCTACTCTCTGAAGGTCATCTGGTTCACTATGAGTGTGCAGACGATGTAATCCTGCTAGGTGAAGACGCTGAAGCAATGCAGGGTCTTCTAGATGAGCTGAACAAAAATCTGAGTATGTTTGACGTCCATTGAGTGCCTCTGAAATGTACAATGATGCTTCAGGACTGGCTTGTAATTACTCCTAGTCTGATGATAGGGGTGAAGTGATGGAATGTATTAACCACTTTAAGTGGCAAGTTGAATAAGACAAATGGACTGGTCGGTGACGAAATCTCAGCTCGGATACAGGAAGCTCGTTTAGCATTTGAAAACTTGTGTCATCTGTGACGCTGACCAATGAGATATCTAGCTATCTACCAAAGAAAGAGTATACTACTTTGCAGTTTGTTCTATCGTGTTATATGACGGAGAGATATGGCCATTGGAGGTAGAAGATAAGAAGGAACTACAGATCTAACATTGCTAACTTATTACGCAATCATCATGTGAGCAATATAGAGGTTAAGCAGAAGATAGTGAGGAAAATAAAACATATTCTGTATATGCAAAACCATCCTTTATCTTGACATACAATGATGGTAGGTAAATTTGAATTAGTTTGGAAGAAGGCTCAGGTTGACCAGACGAAGACATTATATCAGTGCATTAAGTCTCTGATTGTTGATAGGCACCATGCAGGGAGGTGTATAACACCTAATTAGTGTTCTCAAAACTATAAGAATCAATGATCGAGGACCCTCGATGACATCGCTGAAATTCGGTCATTGTGGTGCAGATGTACTCACCTTTTGACGTCTTCTAAAGCTTGAATATTATCACTAACCTTCGTCCTCATATTATTTATCCCTCCATATATCTATTTCCACTTTGATATAAGTTTCTCCACCCACTTCCTTTGTTGCGATTGATATATGACAATTTGAAGAAATCAACTTCCATGCGATGTTCTACCCCAATTTCTTCTGTCGCTGGAGATAACAGATTTAACCACATTGAGATAGTGCCATCCATTTATAATTAAGGACTCAGTACGTATAAATGTCATGGTACTGATGGGCATTGCACCATAAATGTGATTAGGAACAGCCATGTATATCAAGAAGACCACCTGATGGTCGTATTTGACTGCTTTGTGAAATTTCACATTGTAGTACAGACAGGTCATACTGCATATGAGAGGTAAAACTCAATGGAAATCCTAAATTTATTTGTACCTTGTTCTCAAAAGCAACACACTTCCAATTTCTGTCTGTCTGCACTTTAAAATACTGAGTCGTTCTTTCTGATAATTAGTATGACACCATACATGAAGATCAATGTCTTTATTTAAGTACCCTAGAATATGAATTGAGAATAGTCAAATGAAACTAAAAGCCCATATCGCCATTTAACTTTTTTGAGCACTTTCAAAAGTTTCTTAATCAAATTAGAGTGAACACAGCCTCGTTTGCTAGTTCAGTTGTTAAGGTGATCAATTAATCATCCACAGAACCATAATGGATAGAATTTAATGCTATATCGTTTCTCGGCATCTATTCAAACTATTTGCAAACGAATAGTTTCTACTTGATATTAAAATTGAGCTTAGACAGAGACTAAGAGAAAGTTAATTTTTCACAAACTACCAATGGAATGTTCTAGAGTAAGCGATAAACATTATAGCCTGAAATGGTTACTTCCGAATCTTAAATTCCCACCTGTAATTTGAAAATATAACTGAAAGCGTATGACTGAATTTATTTAAACATGATATATGATATGGGAAAGATAAATTAAAGTTTAAGATATGAATAATTTCTTAAACGACAAAATATTACATATATATACTACAAATGAATATTAGTATTCATAAATTAACTTTAAAGTATTTTTCATCCCTTCCCCACATGTTTTCAATGCAGCAAAGAACAGTTTTTGTAATATTTTCCGAAGGCAAATAAGCCAACTTTACTGAATGAGGTTTCACAGGATGGCAGTCACTCATATGCTTACATTGGAACCATTTAACTTGTCCTTTAGGTAAGCCTTCTTTAAATATTGGACAAGAAATTAAGTGCTGAGCAAGTAAACCAGGTAAATTAAATCCTTTATTTTGAAATTCTGGAGGATAACCAATAGAGACATTGAATTCATGCATACTAGTGAAGTTGTTATTGTACTGAACTCCACAGATCCATATTCCTGAATGGAGTTCAACATTCGCGCGTTCAATCACTAAATATTCTGAAGAAGCTTTAGAAATGAGCTCATTGAAATGTAGAATACCACCTGGCAAACTGAATTTCAAAGAGAATGTAAATAAAATGTTCAACTGTTTATCTGATAGCAACAAAGATAAACAATCCTAAATATATTTTCTCACAAATGGTTGTATCCTGTACAGGTTTAGTGTGAGCATCGATATAATTATCTTCAATCTATATGTCGACTGAAGAAAATTTTTGTGTCACCGGTGGTTAGCCTAGATTTATTGTGTTGGCGTTTTCACTGGAAATGTTGTACAGCTGTATACTTGGTATTATTTCACTTTGTACTCTTCCCTTTTCATTAGAATGTATTTTAAATACCTTTTGATAAATGTTTGAAAAATGATAAATCGTCTTACTTCAGTATTTATATTCTTATTTCCTCTGATTGTTTTATATTTTTACGTCAGCTATTTCAGTCGGTGTTACGTGACATGTCATTAGTTTCTCTAATTTCTGTCGTTGACTCGTAGACGTAACAGTTAGTTCAGTGCTCACCTTTTCTTTTTTTAATTTCTTGCCTATAATGTCTTTAAAGATCAACTAAAGGATGCCTTAGAAACCAGAATGACAATAAAGAAATAAGAATATATATTTGATATAAAGATCATCGATGGAGTCAAATATTCTAACTGTACACAATTAAGATCTTATTTCCTGCAATAAATATCATAGTACTGCCTTGGAGCTTTACTGTATTCAGTGCTGATGTATAAATCCTCTCTAACTTATCACATTATCACTTAATCTCTTGTGGCGCTACTTACAAACTTGAAAACACTATCTATTCAAATATATAAACTAGTTTTACTGAGATCTCCTCATCACTTGAAGAGATTTTAATCATTTTATTCAGCTATTCAAATGCATGAGTTTTTCAGATTCCTTTTATATGACACCTTGGTGTGTAAATGATGAATTCAAAGTCCAAAACAGTTTCTGCTGAATTATGATAAATTGAAGAAAGAAGAACGGGATCATTTAGCTGTCCTGGTTGTGCATTCAGTGTCTTATATATTTCGAAAAAAGGATCAGTGTCTTTTCAGATGCTGTACGATCTCTGAATGCATCATAAGATGATGGTTATTGTTAGATATACGACAATAAAATCTCAATTGCTAACAAAGCTGAGACCTTATCAATCAGAGTTCCTCGAAACGTTTCTTAGTTGAAAGTTTGGTACATTAGATACTTTGGGGCAGATCAATTTGTGGAATACTATATTTCATTGTCAATCACTTACTCGGCTCTTTTCCATATGATCGGTTTTGAATATTGGCTTATTGGACAATAAAGTAGAACCAATCCATCTTGTGGAACAATAAGTGTTTTATGAAGAAGTACGGGATCCTGAGATTTTCTAGTTAATGTATCACTTTCTCCCATAGAAATTACATTCAAAATAATTGAAGACTTTGCAAGTACTTTAAACTCTGGGTGAAAAGCTTCACAAATCCATCCACCTGTATGTACTTGGGTCTTAACAATTTGAAGCAATAAATGAGATATCCAAATATTTCTAGTCAATGGATGGCGATCAACTTCAACTGGATATCTAGAAAATAAATAGAAAGATCAAGATCATACAATAAAACACTCTAGTTTACTAAGAGTGGATCTCAGTTCACCAGTTAAGATTTAGCGCTTGGCTTGGGCCTTCAAATTTCAAGCAATGTCTCGGGTTGGAATTTCATCCCAATTATTTTGTTATTTGCAAATCAAAACACGTCAAGCAATAAGTGTACCTTATGATCTAATATATAAACAGTTATATAGGAATGATTTTAAGTTATTTTTGTCATCTCAGTAAAAGTGTCAACTCAAAAAAATGTATCTCTACTAGAACATAATACAAACTTCAGAATTGATCAGTGTTAAAATAAACGAAGCATTTCTTACCCGCTTATTGGATAAATTATTTTTTGATTAACAACTGACTACTTCAGCGCATATCTAAATCATCAAAACGTTCGATATAATGAAGTTGCATTGCAATATACAGGTGAATATTGTATACTAAACATAAGAGTATGAGTAAATCGGAGACAAAGATTAATAAAGAGAATTTTAACATCCACTCAGAATTGTGAAACCCAGCCAAGTGTTGTCAGTAGTTAACCTGTTAACTAACTTTTTAATTCATTGAAAATTTTTTTTTCTTTTTGAGACTTATCATGGTAACCTATGTTTTATGTACGATCCATATTGGATTTGTCTATTCGATGTAATACATTGGTATACTAATATTTATCTGATAGCTTTTCGAGTATAAGCGACTTCTTATAATCATGTAAAAGTAATCATACAGCTTTTGGTATCTGCTTTTTCACGGACCTGTCACCTCATATTCCTTTTTAGTAGTATTAAACTTTACAGGTATACGTGCTGCATCATTATTATCTTTGTTGGGTGTTGAGTGGTTGGACAAAGGTTCCGTAACCAATACCTCTCTCTACACAACTGTTTTGTATTAAAGTACGGTTTTTGTGGCCCAATCTATTTCAAGGCTGTGCTTCAGTAAATCAACTAAAAAAGCTGAGATTTTTTTGGATTATTGGTGCTATTTGGGTTCGTCAATCTACATTTGGCTTAATTTCTATGTTCCAATAATCTAATTGACTCCCAACCTATGTACTTGACCTCACAACCATTGCATGAAATTTGGTCCATCAAACTATTTTCTTCAACTGGGGCAGTCTGGTCCCTAAGCTGAAGTTTATCTACAAGCGGGTTTGTAGATTTGAGTGCCACCCTACAATCCAGCCTTGTTGGGAATCTTACGTAAATAATAATAAATTCTACACGAATAGTACTATGTAACTGTGTCCTATATCAAATGAAACAATGTAATGTGAAATTCGATTTGACCACGGTGCCCAAGTTCTTTACTTGTATTTTATGTACCACCTTTGTATCTTTAGAATTAGGTACTGAAACCCACACAGTGCTAAATCCTAGAAAATAGATGTGGGTAAAACTGTTACTTCGATTTGAGGGTTTGTGACGATTAACTGATTTCAAGTTGGTATTCATCATGGACTGGCATCAGTTGGAGGAACATTAGAAACCTGGAAGCACTGGACAGCCGTTTGGTCCTAATATGTGACTCTTCAACAGTGCTCACCCATGACTGTACTGGGGATCGAATCCAGGACACTCGGGTCCCGCGGCCAGCACATTGCCATTGAGATACTGGGTCGGAATCCAACTGCTCATACTCCCAACTTTTGTCACTTCACGACATAGCGCGACCATCACCCAATGTCAGTGTGAAGTCGTGACCGATGGGTCACACCTGGTGGACGTAAGAAGAAATGCTCACTGATGACATTGGGTGATGGTCGCCCTATGTCGTGAACTCATAGAAGTTGGGAATATGATCTATTGGATTCCAACCCAGTGGCTAAATGGTAATGTGCTGGTCACGGATCCTGAAGTTCCCCGGTTCGCTCTTCAGTAGAGTCATGGGTGCGCATTGGTGGGGAGTTCCATACTAGGACGAAACGGCTTCCCAGTGCAACCAGGTTTCTGATGTTCCTCTAACTGATGTTAGTCCATGGCAAATGCCAACTTGAAATCATATATGTCATTTACAGAAGTAAGGTCGAAACCGTCACTCTGTTTACGCTATTCCCTGAACATTAGTAGTAGTCTTCGTACAACTAACAGAGCTTCAAAACGAAGATAATCTGACATAAATCAGTTACAGCAGGCTTATGGTGAAGCCATGAGTTTAGCCAGATGTTTATGTCACTTCTGTTTTGTCTTTACCTGTCATATATTTACTCATTTTGAATTGATGTCAGAATACTTGACAAAATGGGTAATGTTGTGAAGAAATGGATGATTAAATATCCATAAATCATATAGTTGCTTTTCAAAGCACTAAAGAGTTGACGCAAATTTGAGGCTTACTGACAACTGGTGATACTTCCAGTCAGCAGTCTTGAGGTTGACGGTTTGGGTCTTGCAAAAGCACGAATATTCTTTCAACTTCTTTCATTATATCTGTTACACAAGCATCAGTCTGCTGTATTCACCAAAAAGAAGTATAATGTAATCTTGCTAATCCTTATGGAGAAATTTGTGTCATATTTTAAAAGAACACTCTTAGAGATATAAAACAAAAGATACCTTTTCAAAATTTCGAGTAATTCCACCCCTCACATCAAGTGTAGAGTTGTTTCTAGTGTTAAAGACTGTGCTTATCTATAACTAAAAGCATGAACGAGATTGCTTGAACTTATGCCTCCTAGACAAATGTACAATAATCAGCGTATTTAGCTATCGTTAAAAATGAGAGGAGTAGCTGTGAACATCATGACATAAGAATTGACCAGGGTGTTATCCCTAAAAGTGGGAAACATATTTGTTGCTGGGTCGACCTCTTTAGTACAAAGTGACGAGTCATTCATTTGGTATTGTTGAATTGTAACTGAAATACGATCTATGAAGAATTAAGAACCTATTGATTGAGTTTTGAACAAATTACGTGACGTGAGCTCTAACAGATTTGGCTGGTTTAAGAAAAAGAATATAACAGTTCGGAATGGTTCGATCTCCATTTCATGGAATTATTTTTGACAGCACTTCGTCATTTGCTTTATATATACTTAGAACAATACAAACTTACAATATATAATAACACAGTCCTATTTTATTTTTCACTTAATAAGTGTATTCAGGTAGAAAACTAAAAATAAAGTAGAAGCTTTGAATCAACACTTTAAATGCTGTAGTGAATAACTGAATTACTACTGAGTTATATCAGAGCATTAAAATATATCTACGGAAAATGGGAGAAGAGGCAAAACATTGTCCTCTGAGTAGCAACAAAACTCATACATCTCTCACTTTCTTGCTATCCACCAACCAAGGTACATGATATTTTGAGTCGACTATAAGTTCACCGATGTTTGGTGGAATCACCGTGTGAGCAGTGTTGAAGTAAGACGAAGTTTACCAGGCAAGATGGGCAAGTTGACTGATGAGATTGCTAACTTCATCGGCTAAGATGACTTGAACATATGTTGTGCATGCCGATTCACCGCCTACTTCAACGTCCCATGCTAGGTGAATTTAGGTTAGGCTAGAATAAGGTTCAAGGTGGTCAGATTAAGAGATAGCGCCAGTCGATGACGTCTCTGACTGTTGGTGTGAGCCATTTGACAGAATGTAGACTACTTGCCTGGGGCCTTCGCGACGATAGAAATCAGTAGTCGAGGATTATTGGTGACACAGTTGAAGATAGATCACAGTGGCGCAGATGTATTCAATAACTGATTTCTTCTAAGGCTTGAATGTTTTAGCTAACCTTGACTTTCAAATTTCTTTTTTCCACAAATACCTTTTTCTAGTTTGCATTAAGTGTTTTTTATCCACCTGTTCTTCATATACTACAGCGGAATGTAGAAACTTGAACCGATGCACTTATGCACGAGGTTCTTTTCTGATTTTGTCTGTGTGTCTTACTTAGACATTATAAAGTTTCACTTGATGAGGTGTGGTAAGATTAAGATGATTTCGAAGAAGGTTTCAGCTATATCAAGGTCAAAATGTTTCATATGTATTATCAGTTTTATCGAAGAGAAGGAAAGATTTACTAACGGCATTTTGCGATAAATTTTACAAAAAGATAAAAATTAACCTTTTTCTTGATAACAGATGTATCCACTGGACTGTCGGTTTCTTTGGCGATATTACCCAGCAGGGGAGATTTACTTGTTCATTCTCTATTACTTCCAGAAGAAGAGGTCTTCTGATATTGGGTTGGTTTAATGGAACTGTGAAAGCTTGAAACACCTCTTCATGTCTAAAAATATACGTAGATAATTTTTTATTAAAAATACTAAACTTTATATTGGTAAAAGTGGTAGTCAGTTTTCTTGCGAATATTTGTGTGATCATCGCTGCATGACCATGGCAAAACTTGATACAATAAACCATAAGCTTTAGTTTAGCTGTTTTAGATCAGCAGTCAAAGCTTCATATCAGAACTCGTTCACATTTCTTGATTTTTCTACCACTGTAGTACGTTAAACTTCAAACAATCGTTCATTTCTACTGCACCTGATTTCCATGTTAAGTGAAATTTTATACGGAAACCGTCCAAATGTCAAGAATTTCGTTTACCGATATTATTCAAGTGTTAATAAAAGTCTGGTGGAACTTCAGTGACTACATTCTTCGACACAAAATGTCATCCACTTTTGATCAGGCCTTTTTCTATTGGAACGTAAACAACATTGGGCTACTGATTGGGAATGTGGTCTTACTAATTCACACACAAAAATCAGTAAATATTCTTTGATATTTTTACCTTCAAAATAAATGAAGTACACCTACACGCAATTCAACAGCATTAAACAGCAAACTTCATCTTGGTTTTCGTCACGAACGTATATCACTTTGAGAATCATTAAAAACCTAGAAGCCCTAGAGGGCTGCTTTGTTCTAACATGCATCTCCTCAACAGTGTACACTCATGACCCCGCCAGCGATTGTAGGAAGAATATTTTGTCTCATTTTATGTATTGGTTTTCAACACATCACATACTTTTAACTACATGGTTAAAAAATGATTGATTGCTTCCCAGTGATGAATACTGACAATAAATTACTGGTTAATACTAACCTTAAGTCCTTTACTTTCTGTATCCTCAAGTATGACTTACTGGTAATTATCACTACTGTAGATTCCATAATTTAAGTTATGAAATACGTCTCTACCCTGGTTACTTAATAGCACCGAATCTAAAAATCACTATTCAGAACATAATATCGCGTTTTCTTTTGTACATATTGTTACAGAATTACTTTAAAATATCTTTTTACGCCGTCTTATATGGTGACATTTCCATACTTCAAGTTAATGGAAATTTATTTATCTCTCTCTCCAGTAAACATTTAAATAATTGTTTCTATGCTGTATTCATTTTGAAATGTCATTGACGCAAACGAGAGAATACAGTAGTATAGTAAACATTAAGTGAACTGTCACTCTCCAACGTAAGTATTTGGTTTTATTAACGAAAAAAAAGCCACGTTTATTGACTTCCTTAATCATTCTTTTCTTTGATGAATAGTTCCGTGTAAAAGTTATTGCTTTTTGAAGTCTGGATTAATTAGTGTAGAAGAACTAAAAGAATTTAAGTAGATTATGCAGCCTGACTTCACTGAAACTCCACAACATATTTCACAACTGATGACTACCTTAGAAATGGTATGAAGTTTTTTTTAAATGGTTTTATTTTTCACAAAATATCACCCGACTACTTTTTGGATTAGTGTTTTATTACAGCATATTCATCAAAAGTGTCAAATACAAGACAAAAGTATAATTCTATATAACTGGTTCTCACTAAACTAACTGTTATTTCTGTGGTATTGTGATCAAAAGAACTATTATTTACTCAGATCTCTTAATTCTCTAAAAGATAAATCTAAGCAGTTCACATTTATGTGCTTATACAGCCGCATCCAAAAATTTAGTCGTCAGTGAAAACATTTTCAACCGAAACTATATTATTCACCAACTGTGTATGCATTTAGGTAGCAGGCAAACAAAATGAAAAACTTTCCCTCTGAATTTAATGGATAGTATGATGACCTCGAAATATAATTATAAACTAGTAATCATTTTTGGTACTGACGAAAACTCTTCTAAACAACATTTGTTGCAAGCAGAACAAGATTTTTGTGTGTACTGATGTGTTCATATGCAATTCGGAAACCTTAAAAAAGATTGATAGCCTGAGGTATATTTCTAGGTCATTCAAAATATTGAGATTACTAAGTTCAAATTCTAGTTCACATATTTTCTTGTGCAACTATAAAACCTATTAACATATCTGATACTCCTACCATTACTAAATGGATGCATCAATCGATTTAGGGAATTCTGGTAATCCAGTAAATTCAATAAGAATTACATGAATTTATGTATTTCCAGCAATAAAACGCTATTCGCTGAAATGTTATAAAAGCGAATAAACTTCATATGACTCAGTATCAGATGATTCAGCCAATAACTGAGAAATGATTTGTTGTGACAAAACTTCATGATTCTAACTTTATGTGTAATTCACGTTTGAATATTATGGCACTCGTTAGACTCAACACAACTGTGAGTTATAAACTGAACTGAATGCAAGATATGATTTTTTCAATTTCCTAACTAACAAACTTCCTTTGAGTGAATTTAAAGGCACCCTAGCTAAACAATCGTTTTCCTTTTTTTCATGAAAAAACTAACTTTAGAGCCAAAGTAGAGTAAACGGACTAGTTATTTCAGTCCCTGGAGAAATGATGTTTAGAATCACTCATTTCTTCTAATTTGTACTACGGAAAACAAAGGCTTATTGCTCACTAACCTTGGGTGTTTTCCGTTTGAGTTATGCACATACACAGCTGAATTATATGTTTGCAGTGGATTATAGTTCATAGAGGTGAAATAGCTAATTTTTTACATAAACAGAGGAAAGATATACAATAACTGATTTCATTTGAAGTGCAGTTATTTGAAACGCATGATTCTTACAGGATTGAGTGAAATTTCAGTAGGCAAACTCTTCATCCTAGCTATTCAATAATACTACTAAGTGTCTTTTAAAAGAAGTAAGATATTATAGCCGATAATATCTGTCCTAGACTCATTTTCTTTCCTTTGGTCTTACAAGAACAACCAATAAGCTTTTATTGACACATTCAACTGCCCAATCTATCAGAGTGCAAGGCAAGATCTTCACTGTAAATACGGTTGTGATGCACTGATTCACTTGTGTAGCAAACATCAATGGAGCCCATGTTACACCTAAATGTTAGGACTATCACAAAACTAGAGATAAGCTTCAGACGACGCCTTATGATATAAACCTTGTTTCAACTCTTTTCAACCGCATCCAACTATAAGCTGTATATAAGGATATGGGGGAGCAAGAAAACTGAAACAATAATTCACGCTACCAAAGGAAATTAAGAAGAAATAGAATCAGATCTCATAACAAATAACTTACGATTTATCTGTCTTCAGTTCATAGCCAACTGATAGATTAGCTGTTTTATGAAAGAAAAAAGTCAATTTGAGGATAAGTTAGTAGTATATAAGTCTTCTTTTTTTGCACAAGTTAAAATTTTCTACTGTTTAAACATTTCCTGAAATCACAACTCAACGTAAATATTGTAATGGGGATAATGACAATATTATTATTAAAACAGAATATTTTCTATCAAAATATTGAATATTCAAGCTTTCTAGTGGTTACTAGAATCTAAAAAGTCCACTTTCTATTAAAAAGTGAAGAGCTGGTTTATTTTAATGGAAAGAAAACATGATCCCTCTGTAAAAGCTGTCAGATTACCTGAACTAAAGTCCAAAATTGAGTGGAAAATGAAGAAAAGTTGTAAACCTCAAGACTAGATTTCCTGAAGGTAATTGAATAAAAAATTTACAATCTCGAGGTTGAATACACACATGAGAGAAATAATCAACCAGTTCTTTTGCCTTAGTAAATCTACAGAGAAAAACGAGTTGTGTGCAACTGAAATTCAATATATATCGTTTTATTGTCATCAACATAGAATAGAGTTCAGTGATCGTGAGTTGCGTAACATTGAACCGGGTGGAATGAAAATTTTTAAAGTAAACATTGAAGAGAAATAATAAATTTTTCATTAAATGTTTTATTTAAAGGGACTGTTTACAACACTAGTCTATGTAGCTCGATTTACTTCTGATGATAATTTAAGGAATCAGATGAAATTCGAAAAACTGACAAGAACAGATAGTTGGACAGTAGCTATATCTATTTTAGTGCACTCATACACTTGCTCTGATAAATCATAAATTCATCTTTTAATCATCAGAAACAGATATAAATATTATTTTGACGGAATTAAGTAAAGAAGGTCACATGATTGACTGCTGATTACACACACAAAAATTAAATGTTTCTATTCCCATACAAGTAACTCACAAAAATTGAACTCAAGAAACGAAAGTAACGAGACACCGTGAAATCGCATATTTTTGAACATATAACAACACACTTTAAGTAATTCACATATTAAACCGACGATGCAGATTTCCTTCTGTTTAGGATTCATCAGATGATTGGATCTACAACCCAGTAAGTAGTGTTGTTCTCACTAAGACTGAAACTCAGGACGGATCGCTTCAAATGCCGGGATGTTATTTTCTAGCCCACTGGGGCACGACAGTCACTCTCTGCGCGGCGGGTATAGTGAAGTTATTTTTATTGCTATAGCTTGTGGAACTTCATCGTTTATTGGGCTGAACTGATCGGACACGAGGAGCAAATCGGCTTCTTTGGGGATGCTTCTATATTGCAAATATTTTCAAATTTGATATTACTGATGGATAGTGTTAATGTGACGAAACTCTTCGAAGGAATATTCAGAAATGAAATAAGGTCACTAAAATATCAGCTTCTACTTAACCTGACTAAAACACTGGATAAATATTGACAAAAAAATAAAGTACTACAGGAAATATTCAGTGTTTTAGTATAACAAAACCCCCATTCAAATAAAAAAGTAAAAATTCTTATGTTATTTAGTTTATGAACCTCGCCTGGTTAACTAGTTCACTAGTTACTAGCCGGTCCTAAGCCCCCATAAAGAGGGAAGGTTGGCCATACGGCTAGCAACCCTACCACGGAAAACAAATATAACCGCTAAACAAACTTCAAAACACAAACAAAATCTAAAAATAATAACAAAATTATTCCTCGGTGGAATCGGAGAGGCAAAATAACGCCAGTTGGTGAAAGCCTTCAGGAAGCCAATTGGCCCACGTGTCTTTTCTCCCTCGATCAAAGAGAAAGTAAACGTGGGACATGGAATGTCCACACAATGTCTGAACCCAGCAAGGCAGCCCAGATTGCAAACGAGATGAAGAGGTATCACATTGAAGTGCTAGGAATTTGCGAAAGCAGATGGAATGGGAGTGGACTCTCCAAACTGTCAACTGGAGAATCAATAACCTACTCCGATATTGTCACACAGACGACAACCACGAGCACACTGAACTTTGGAGTGGCTATCATGATGTCTCCAACTGCATCGAAGGCTCTGTGTGATGCAGTGGGAGGCAATCTCCTCTGCATCACGATCAGGATCATGACAGCAAGGTTCAACTCAAAAGGAAGGAAGGTCACAATCATACAATGCGACTCCATGCACCTACAAATAATGCAGAGAAAGAGAAAAAGGAGGAATTCCACACACAACTGCAATCAACACTGGAAAAGACCCACCCCAGTTGGCAACATCAAAATTCTAATGGGTGGGGTGACATGAATGCCAGACTGGGAGGGGACAACACAGGAAGGGAACTAACCATGGGTCGAGAAGCACTCGGTGAGGTGATGAACGAGAATGGAGAATTGTTTGCAGAATTCTGTGCATTCAATGATTTGGTGATTGGAGTCAGGCAGTGTGTTCAAGCACGAGGATATCCACAAAGCGAGCGACATGGATTTCACCAGACACCAGGACACACTAAAAATCAGGTCGACTTCATCTCAATCTCAAGATAATGGAGACGCAGTCTACTTGACACAAGGTTAAGAAGAGGAGCAGATGTGGGTTCAGACCACTATCTAGTGCAAGGAACCTGCCTTCCAAATCAAGTTGAAAGCCTTCAAGGAAGCTGGTGATAGAGCGCAATTCAAATACATCACTCGAAAACTGAATGATGAGACTACAAGGGACATCTTCACGGCAGCCATCAAGACAAAATGGGAGATATCAAGCAACATCCCTGAAGAAAACTGTGTGGAAGAACACTGGAAGTCTTTGAAAGCTATGTGGAAAGAAACCTGCACAGCCGAATTAGGAAGGAAGAAGAAAGAGGACAAGGAATGGATCTCGACGGATACATGGAAGCTGATAGAGCAGGGAGAGGAAGATGGCGATGGTGAAGCAGAAGATAAACCAGTGCAAGGATGCTCAACGACAAGAGGAAGTGAGCACAATGTATAAAACACTACACTGGACAAAGAAATGAAGAAGAGTGCACGCAGAGACAAAAGACACTTCTAGGAAACACTGGCAAGTGAAGCAGATCAGGCTGCAGGTAGGAAAGACAGAAACCTGACAACATTGTATCAAATAACCAGGTTGCTACTATCTGGAAGGGAAGAGATCAACGCAGACGAAACCAATGAAAGGTGATGAAGGAAATTTAATTACGAAAGAGGAGAAACAAAGGAAACAGTGGGCGGACCACTTCAAGAAGCTCTTGAATCGACCACCACCACCACCAGCACTTTATCCAGTAATACCACCTACAGTCCGGCCACAGAACTACAAGTGAACATAAATCCTCCAACAAAAGTCGAAATCCTGAACGCCATAAAGCTACTGAAATGTGGGAAAGCAGCAAAACCAGATGGGATCCCGTCAGAAGCACTGAGAGCAGACGCAGAGACAACAGCGGATATGCTCACACCACCATTGCAGAGGGTGTAGAAGGAAGAGAAGGTACCTGCCCATTGATTGTAAGAAGGGCTACCTTGTCAAACTCCCGAAGAAGCGAGACCTCAGTGTTTGCAAGAACCGACGCGGAATCACTCTCCTGTCCACCCCATGCAAGCAAAATATTATGCCGCATCAACCTGGAGAGGTTAAAGGATGAGCTGGATTCAAAACTGCGACCGAAACAGGCAGGCTTCACGAAGTACAAATCATGTGTGGACCAAATTGCAACGCTACACTACGCGTCATCATAGAACAGAGTATAGAATGACAGTCAAATCCACACCTCAACTTCATCGACTTTGAGAAGGCCTTTGACAGCGTCGACCGAGAGGTAATTTGGAAACTGCTTCAATACTACGGAATACCACAAACCTTTATCAGCCTCATTCAACAACTATATGAAGACGCCACATACCAGCCAAGTAATTCACAATGGGAAGCTCAGCTCAGTGATGCTTTTGAAGCGAAGACAGGAGTGAAACGAGGCCGCCACCTACTAACACCCATGATATTCCTGATTGTGGTCGACTGTGCTGGATCATGCAGCAGACAACAGTGGGGAGCTGTGAGAAGAGGGGGATACACTGGATGGCTGGACTGCGCAAAAAAACCTAAAAGATTTGGATTTCGCCACCGATGACTTGTGCCCGATATCACACAAACTTGAAGACCTACAGGCGAAAACTAACAAGTTGGCAGAAGAGGTGGGGCAGGGCAGCGAAGACGGGACTTCAAGTGAATATAGCGAAGACAGAAGTGATGAAGATACCGCACCAACAACTCCCACAACAACAAACTCCAATCACCATGAACGGGAGAAACTTAAAGGAAGTAACCTCCTTCCCTTATCTAGGCAGCACTGTCTCAACTACAGGCGGCACAGGCACAGACGAGGATGTCAAAGTCAGACAGGATCGGAAAAGCAAGACAGGCGTTCATTAGCCTGAAACCAGTGTGCAGATCTGCTTCACTGCACACAGCATGTGGAACAACATCCGGATTTTCAACACCAACCCTGTCAAGTCAGTGCTTCTGTGTGATTGTTGAGAGACTTGGCACGTTACGAAAGGGATATCCAATAAACTACAGACATTCATCAACAACTGCTTACCCCGGCTCGCTACTGAAGATCAGATGGCCAGAATAATGAGAATAAGTAACAAGGAACTCTGGCTGGGTAACGAACCGACCAAGAACCTATCACCCAACAAATATGCAGTAGGAGGAAGTGGAGATGGATTGGAGTGGGCATACATTGAGAAGGTCGACTGGGGACATCGCGCGTCAGGCCAGTTGCTCGAGTGGAACCCCCATGGGAAGCGACCAGTTCACTGGCGATGTGCTACTGAAGCCCTATGTTCCATCAGGAACCCAAGGGACAAATAGTAATAATATCTTCGTCATCAAGTTATCTAATGGTATTTTTATCTGAAACCAAATAGCACAACTTAAAGTAATCATTCTCGGTACTCACCTGTAAACGTATTCTTCCTCTTCAAAATGTCAACCAATAGCAGGAGTACATTATCTGGTAATTGATGTGATTCTGTCTTCATAATATTTCTTCTGAACCTATTCCGAAGTAGGCAGGTAGCCTCACATTCTGCTTCTGTTTTAAAAACTCGTCCAATCATCTGACTTTCGTAAAAGGTGAACTGACCAAAAGTACTTTTTGGTTCATTCAAACAAATGGGCACCAAAACTGGAACACAAATTCCATCATATTTTTCATCGGTTAAATGTACACTAGTTCTTACTTGAAATCTGTAACCCAGTTCGTGAATGATATCTTCTGGGTTACAAAATGTCTGTTTAACCATCTCATCATACTGACTACCTGTTAGAAATGGTAGACATGGAAATTTCTCCGCGAAGTTATCTAGAAAGAAAGTAAATAGGACGAATTACAGAAAAGAAAATTCATATAGTATAAAAAATAAAGGCCTGAATAAAACAGTTACTATGATCAGTAATTGTGTAGTTGATGTTTCGACAATTTCACAAAACAAATCTCCGTGTTCCTAAAAGTGCATGGATTTTCTGACACTACCCATAGCGGTGCACATAGTTGAAAAGTCTTAAACTGTGCTAAACAAGTTGTTCGAAGGATTCATGGTCTTCATCTGATACGTATACCTGTTAACTTTCTGCCTCTCTCTTTCTGGAGAAGACAGCAAAAGAATTGGATTGGGCCTGTACACATTATTCTAGAATTGATTAAATTGACACCTTAGTTAGGTAGGCATAGTAAAAGGTTTACACGTTTTCATCATATTGTGTAATAAGACTAATACAACTCAGAAAGTGTAGGTAGGTTTTGAGAAAAATAGAAAGATAACATGAAAAAAGGAAGAGGGCCATGGGATCATGAAGCTTTCTTATTTTCAAACTTAGGAGATTAAAACTGCTAAGGTAAGGCAATGATTAAGGACGCTCTCCTTCTGAACACATAGACCAGGTTTGCATCTTTTAGTTGTTGCTCCCTTAGCAAACAGCGAAAGGGTAGCGTTAAGTTGTTTTTGGTCACTTTGAATGATTTTGGCACATTATTTTCAGTATCAAGTAGATGTTGAATGATAACTTTATTTAAGTCCTACTGATCCTTAAGACTTAAATTTTCCACGGTATGTTCAGAAATCTGAACAAGAACCCTTGTATCTCTTCCATATTGAATTATTTATTTGATGTAGCACACAGTGATACACTTTGATATGAATATGAACAATAAATTCTGCTCAAAATGTCATCCAGTAAATTATAATGTGTCACTGTGTGCCACATCTAATAAACAACATAATATGGAATTATATTCTAACCCAATGTCCAAGTTTTCCTCTTACATTAACCCTTGTCTCTGTTATTCCACTGTATATGCTTTGACATGAACGTGGGAATCAGATGATGCCGTCCGAGATACTAAAGGTTGTGAACTTGGCAACTTTGATTGTCATAGTGAGCATTTAGTCTGTTAGTTGGTTGGAAGTAATCAGTAGGAAACCATGGACCTAGGTTTCGTGCTTGTTTGAACCAGTCAGCAAAGAGTATCTGCAACCTTGACGAAACTGATGTCCCTTCCGAGATCTGAACCCACGTCACCGAGTTTTGTAGCCGGCGATTCTATCACTGAGCTATTTGCGCTGCGACTTACCACCTGTAAAATTGGACTACATACTCTAATCGGTCACCGGAGAGCCACTAACTTCATGCTGTCTAGTTCTGAGTGCAGAATGAATTCTGACAATCATATTTAGTCTGAAATGCATAGACCATCTTCATATCTGGATAGATCACTTTTAGGGAAGCTCTTGGGTCATCCATTTGGCGATTTCATCCCTATTACTTTCAAAGCGTGGACAGACAGGCTACTTGTCAACTCTGCTGCACTTGATTCTCTTCGTTTGTCTCCTACGGTATTTATCAATGAACTTTTTGCATAACCATTTTTGCGCAGACAGTGTTCGACAAAGGTTATTTCTTCTTCAGTTTTCTTTTCAGAGTAGAAGTTATGCTTGCAGCTGAAATGCGTTCACACCAGTCATTTTTGTTAGTGATTGAGTAAAAGCTGTTTAAGTTCAAACAAAGCCACTGGAGTTCGCATTTTAATCCGTCGCATACAAACCAGGAAATGTTATAAAAAAGACTTCACTGTTATGTCAAGTAATGACTCCTGTACTTGGTGCAACAGAATTCAGGACTTTGATTCACCGAATAAACTTCTATCACAATATTAAAGTGGAGTGGCTATTCGCTATCCAGCGATGATATCCGGAATAGCATGTTTCCGCGTAATTACCATCTGGCCTTAATTTATGAGGAGGAAAACGGTCGTCGTCATCACAACCTTCAATGATTAATCCATGCATAGTAATTACAATCTACTTGATTTTTACACTCAGAACTGTAATTTTACTCCGAATAGATGTGGTAGTTAAAAGCGTTTTCTGTTGCAAGAAAGTGTGGAGAAATACTCGTATATATAAAAATGCTCCATTAAAAAGAAAATTAGAGAGTGGTTGAAGGATGACTTGTAAAATATGCATGCACAGAATAAGTTTTTCAATTGTTTGTCTCCTCGAAATGTGCTTATAAAAGCACACACAAGATATCTGGTATAGTGATTCTATTTATTCAGAGCATGTCGTAACGCTTTATGTTTAAAATCCCACCTTTAACACACATTTGTTCGTGCTACGTTATCTATTTATGCCGGTTGGATGGAAGTGGTCTACAGGAAGTCCTAGAAATAGAGTTTATGCTTGTCGGCACTCATTAGTACGGCTTACTTTCCATCTTGAAAGGTCTGATGTCCACTGTGAATTTCAGACCCGCGTAACACAGTATTGCAGTCAGAGATGTTGCCACTAGGCCATTCCGGCTCGAACTGGATTAGATACTATAATGGGTCACTGGAGAACAACCGGTTTTGTGTTTTCTGGTGTGGAGTGCTGACGAAATCCCATCAACTGTTTGCAGTGTAGTCACAAACCTAGGAGGATGACCATGGTTGTGCACTTTGGTTGATTTCTTGTTCACTGCAACAATGAAGGAAAATCATACTTCTGTAGCTGTAAATGACAGCTCTTTTGGAAGAGTCACACTTTTAAATCTGCCTTTTATGCCTTCAATTCCTTCATATTAATCCAAGAACATAGGGGGCAAGTACACGGCAAGGTTTATGTAGGTAATTTCATAGTTTGTGTTAATTATTTCTGCTGTTTGTTAAGTGACTAGCTATGAGTTATTCTCATCCCATTCTGAAGTTTGTATTTGACTGTTATTAACAGTTATCGAATGCGTTCAGAATATACTACGTAGCAAACTTGCTAATTCTTAACTATATGTTGGTCACACTACGTAATTAACATGCATCTTTCCAGTGCTATTTTGTATTTTTTTTCTATTCTGACACCTGGTTAGTCTATATTTCTTGATAAAACGGATTCCAGAACGCAGTAGGTGTCAGTTTACATCGAAATACAACGAAGGTAAACGAAGAATTAGAGAAAGATAAGGTGGAAATAATTTAAAGTAGGAGCGTCCTCACAAAGACAGTAAGTCTGATTCTGATCAGCACTGCTTGGATTTTTCTGCAGGTCATCTGCGAAAACTAGGTTTATTGAGTCAAATCAGTGTAAAAACATCTTGATTCAGTTCAAATGATACTTCTTTGAAATTAATTCTACTACTTGATGTTGAATTCTACTTCAGTCAATATCATAATTTAAGCTGGGAAGATAATACGAATGCTCACTATGTATTACAAACTCTTTTTAGGTTAATAACTCTTTCAACAATCTTTTTGATATATGAGAACATAAACCTGACTACACCCAACTATACCTTGAACATACAATATTTCCTCGAGTAGCTTTTCAAGTGCAAGTCCCACATTTTTTACAAACTTTCAGGCTTAGATATACTGCAGAGATGCTCGCTGGAATCACCAGATTCGTCGTGTTAATTTACGGCAATCCAACTAAATACAAGTATTCTTACCTCATTAGGCATCAGCAAATCAGTACTATTTCGGCTTCGGAGATCGTTTAAAGAGATAACCTGGGTACTGTTTTGAACCAGTATGTAAAAACAAACCTTTCTCTATATTTCAAGAAATTATGGTGCCTATGTTACTATAATATTACAGCTGAGTTTGAAAATCTCACATGAATTATATCTTAGCGTACATCTTTGATATTCAGCTGAATAGCCATATTTTACTCATTGGTTGTCAAGATCTGAGCAAAGGCTAATTCCAGACCACGACCTTAGCTGATTATTATTTGGTGAGTTGGAGTCATTTGTGCTACTCTAATTCAACAACTAATGTACTGATGTAATAAAACGTGTCTCACTACAAGTTGTGAAACAATTAATATGAATGTGAAAACCAAATATGCATAATAAGGAGTGATTGGATGCAGGAAAGATATCTCCGAGCTTTCAGTAGTTGTGGTGAATGAAAAACATTGATTTTCGCTCAGTGTGAGTGCACTTAAGAATGCATTTATGCTGCTGAAAAGAACCCACTAAATAGTAACACCTCAGCTGTTGAATACATAAACATGAGTTGTAGTCATCTTGTTGACTAGTAGTGGAATTCGGGACAAGTATTTCGTCCTTATGGAACTCGTCACCTGAATGTACCTGCACCTCAGTGAGTGTCGTTCCTACTTAGACCCGAGCCCAGTACCTATCGCTTTAAACACCAGTGTTACACACTAGGCTTTTGGGGCCTGAAAGTCACCTCATTTGCAACGATTATCAGTTGTTATTTGGCACTTCTAATTTCTCACTACTATACAGGTTTAAATTTCTCAGCCTCTTCTAGATAAATTTGGGCTATTTAGTATGCAAAAAAAAATTTTCCATCGGCTGACTTTGACATAATTTAAACTAATTTATTTAGTGTGTAATCGCTTAATAAAAACAAACAAAATGTCATGTTTTTGTATTTTTCTCCAGTTTATCCTTGTGGATGAATAACATACTTTTTTAAATAGGCTAGAGTGATTTTTTTTAAATGTGAATGAATTCTCTCTAAAATTAGGAAAAATCTAGGGATTTTTAACCCTCTTAATCAACTATTTATGCTTTCTCTTATGTGCTTCTACTGACCTCAAGCAACATACGCAATTTTCGTCGAATCAGCATAGTCTGTCGCAGAAATAACTAGTCGCCTAACACAAGACATCCATTTTACCTTAATACACATTTAAGTTTTAGCGGCATTCAAGTCTGGGAAACAAGAAACATATTCGAAAGCAGGATATAATTTAGGAGAAAGTTTAAAGGTTTGCAATAGTGCACATACCAGAATCAGATGTTTTTCGCAGAATGTCATTAACAGTACCTTCGCTTTCTGATAATTTATGTATTGATAAAGGGTCTGTTGATGAGGATGCTTTGACCAATGCTCCAAGTTTTTCTTCAGATGTTCGACTAAAAGTTAAATTATAACTAGGTACATTTCTTTCTGCAATCACTTCTATGTCTGGCACAGAAATACATGCTGAATTACAAGCAGCTAATGTTGGGAAGTTATTTCCATGCGCCAATAATCCAGTAAAACGGAATGGAAGACATTGTTTCTTCGATTTATCGTAATAGAATCTCTCCGGATAACTTGGGTCCGTAGAATTTTTCTGAATGAAACAGAATGCATTATACATCTATATCTACAAATATGTATGAACTATGAGTAAAAAATATTTGGTGTCGAAGTTGCACAAGATGTCAACCTGTAAATTATTTGTAAATTATTTTTTACTTTTAATTTTACTGGTTGATTCAAGTTGACCAGGTAAATCCAGGCTGTATGAATATTTCAGCTTTTTTAATGAGCTGCCTTTGTCCGGGCACGTCACTGATGGGCTTGAAAATGAATATTTGAAACATCTGTTCTATATTTGGATCAGTTTGATCTGCAGATGAGCGTGAGTAGTTCGTCCTTTCATACTATCTAGCTATACATTCCATTAGTCAGCTATCACCTCTACATAAATTTCATCCAAATGTAGGCCAACTTATCAGTGAAGGTAACCATGATAATCTCATCACCAATACGCGTAGTAAAAACGCAAAATTTCTAATACATAAGGTCCACCGGTTAAAGTATCTGTTTGAAGCTTGACTTCGTTATAAAACTGTCAACATTCTTTATGCAATTTACTATTCAGAAGTCTGCCTTCATATGTTTTATACCTTTTTATTTGCACCTAGAACGTCAGTAATGCGTAGCAGTTCAGTGGACTAAATTTTAAAAACCTTTTGTTAAAACATGACCTTAGTTGATCGTCAGTATTCTAGTCATTTATTGTTTATAGATGCAGAAATCAAACAGCACTCAGAATTTCGCAACTGATGCTGGTCAGAGGTCTGATTTTATAAGCCCTGGTCCAATGTTCAAATAGTACAACAAGACCTTAACTCTGTTTCCTAATGCTTTGCCCCTGACCAAGTAGATTCTTTATCATTAGGGTACTATAAATAAAATAATGTATTCAGAATTTTATATATGCAAATATTTATTGACAGTGACAAATAGTATGTTCAATTTACTCATTTTAGGATAATTTGTTTGCAAACTCACCTGTAAAGGTAGCCTGCAAATATCTTTACCCATACAAAATCCTTCACACTCAGCTTTAGTCAAAAAACGATTGGAGTTGCCAAAACATCCACCGTATGTAAAAGGCATACACATACGTTTATCCAAGTCGTAATACCATCTTTTTTCAAAGTTGGAACAACCACCGTGGTCATGTGGAAGACGACAAACATCTGAAAATGTAAGTGAGAACTTTTTAAAAATTAATGTTTGCATTACTTTCCAAATTAACACAGATAAAAGTAATCTAAATTAGTCCCTATAAGAAGCACTATGGTGTGTCGCTGAGTCCTGTAGGATATAAGCGCACTAAGTAAAAGTGTAAATAAAGATATCAAGTTCTGTGGTGGTGACACTCACATGGATAAGAATAAAGATATGATATACCATTCGAAAAACTCGCCTAGTTAACTAGTACACTAGTTACTAGCCGGTTCTAAGCCCCCATAAAGAGGGAAGGTTGGCCATACGGCTAGCAACCCTACCACGGAAAACAAATATAACCGCTAAACAAACTTCAAAACACAAACAAAATCTAAAAAATAATAACAAAATTATTCCTCGGTGGAATCGGAGAGGCAAAATAACGCCAGTTGGTGAAAGCCTTCAGGAAGCCAATTGGCCCACGTGTCTTTTCTCCCTCGATCAAAGAGAAAGTAAACGTGGGACATGGAATGTCCACACAATGTCTGAACCCAGCAAGGCAGCCCAGATTGCAAACGAGATGAAGAGGTATCACATTGAAGTGCTAGGAATTTGCGAAAGCAGATGGAATGGGAGTGGACTCTCCAAACTGTCAACTGGAGAATCAATAACCTACTCCGATATTGTCACACAGACGACAACCACGAGCACACTGAACTTTGGAGTGGCTATCATGATGTCTCCAACTGCATCGAAGGCTCTGTGTGATGCAGTGGGAGGCAATCTCCTCTGCATCACGATCAGGATCATGACAGCAAGGTTCAACTCAAAAGGAAGGAAGGTCACAATCATACAATGCGACTCCATGCACCTACAAATAATGCAGAGAAAGAGAAAAAGGAGGAATTCCACACACAACTGCAATCAACACTGGAAAAGACCCACCCCAGTTGGCAACATCAAAATTCTAATGGGTGGGGTGACATGAATGCCAGACTGGGAGGGGACAACACAGGAAGGGAACTAACCATGGGTCGAGAAGCACTCGGTGAGGTGATGAACGAGAATGGAGAATTGTTTGCAGAATTCTGTGCATTCAATGATTTGGTGATTGGAGTCAGGCAGTGTGTTCAAGCACGAGGATATCCACAAAGCGAGCGACATGGATTTCACCAGACACCAGGACACACTAAAAATCAGGTCGACTTCATCTCAATCTCAAGATAATGGAGACGCAGTCTACTTGACACAAGGTTAAGAAGAGGAGCAGATGTGGGTTCAGACCACTATCTAGTGCAAGGAACCTGCCTTCCAAATCAAGTTGAAAGCCTTCAAGGAAGCTGGTGATAGAGCGCAATTCAAATACATCACTCGAAAACTGAATGATGAGACTACAAGGGACATCTTCACGGCAGCCATCAAGACAAAATGGGAGATATCAAGCAACATCCCTGAAGAAAACTGTGTGGAAGAACACTGGAAGTCTTTGAAAGCTATGTGGAAAGAAACCTGCACAGCCGAATTAGGAAGGAAGAAGAAAGAGGACAAGGAATGGATCTCGACGGATACATGGAAGCTGATAGAGCAGGGAGAGGAAGATGGCGATGGTGAAGCAGAAGATAAACCAGTGCAAGGATGCTCAACGACAAGAGGAAGTGAGCACAATGTATAAAACACTACACTGGACAAAGAAATGAAGAAGAGTGCACGCAGAGACAAAAGACACTTCTAGGAAACACTGGCAAGTGAAGCAGATCAGGCTGCAGGTAGGAAAGACAGAAACCTGACAACATTGTATCAAATAACCAGGTTGCTACTATCTGGAAGGGAAGAGATCAACGCAGACGAAACCAATGAAAGGTGATGAAGGAAATTTAATTACGAAAGAGGAGAAACAAAGGAAACAGTGGGCGGACCACTTCAAGAAGCTCTTGAATCGACCACCACCACCACCAGCACTTTATCCAGTAATACCACCTACAGTCCGGCCACAGAACTACAAGTGAACATAAATCCTCCAACAAAAGTCGAAATCCTGAACGCCATAAAGCTACTGAAATGTGGGAAAGCAGCAAAACCAGATGGGATCCCGTCAGAAGCACTGAGAGCAGACGCAGAGACAACAGCGGATATGCTCACACCACCATTGCAGAGGGTGTAGAAGGAAGAGAAGGTACCTGCCCATTGATTGTAAGAAGGGCTACCTTGTCAAACTCCCGAAGAAGCGAGACCTCAGTGTTTGCAAGAACCGACGCGGAATCACTCTCCTGTCCACCCCATGCAAGCAAAATATTATGCCGCATCAACCTGGAGAGGTTAAAGGATGAGCTGGATTCAAAACTGCGACCGAAACAGGCAGGCTTCACGAAGTACAAATCATGTGTGGACCAAATTGCAACGCTACACTACGCGTCATCATAGAACAGAGTATAGAATGACAGTCAAATCCACACCTCAACTTCATCGACTTTGAGAAGGCCTTTGACAGCGTCGACCGAGAGGTAATTTGGAAACTGCTTCAATACTACGGAATACCACAAACCTTTATCAGCCTCATTCAACAACTATATGAAGACGCCACATACCAGCCAAGTAATTCACAATGGGAAGCTCAGCTCAGTGATGCTTTTGAAGCGAAGACAGGAGTGAAACGAGGCCGCCACCTACTAACACCCATGATATTCCTGATTGTGGTCGACTGTGCTGGATCATGCAGCAGACAACAGTGGGGAGCTGTGAGAAGAGGGGGATACACTGGATGGCTGGACTGCGCAAAAAAACCTAAAAGATTTGGATTTCGCCACCGATGACTTGTGCCCGATATCACACAAACTTGAAGACCTACAGGCGAAAACTAACAAGTTGGCAGAAGAGGTGGGGCAGGGCAGCGAAGACGGGACTTCAAGTGAATATAGCGAAGACAGAAGTGATGAAGATACCGCACCAACAACTCCCACAACAACAAACTCCAATCACCATGAACGGGAGAAACTTAAAGGAAGTAACCTCCTTCCCTTATCTAGGCAGCACTGTCTCAACTACAGGCGGCACAGGCACAGACGAGGATGTCAAAGTCAGACAGGATCGGAAAAGCAAGACAGGCGTTCATTAGCCTGAAACCAGTGTGCAGATCTGCTTCACTGCACACAGCATGTGGAACAACATCCGGATTTTCAACACCAACCCTGTCAAGTCAGTGCTTCTGTGTGATTGTTGAGAGACTTGGCACGTTACGAAAGGGATATCCAATAAACTACAGACATTCATCAACAACTGCTTACCCTGGCTCGCTACTGAAGATCAGATGGCCAGAATAATGAGAATAAGTAACAAGGAACTCTGGCTGGGTAACGAACCGACCAAGAACCTATCACCCATCAAATATGCAGTAGAAGGAAGTGGAGATGGATTGGAGTGGGCATACACTGAGAAGGTCGACTGGGGACATCACGCGTCAGGCCAGTTGCTCGAGTGGAACCCCCATGGTAAGCGACGAGTTGGGTGTCTGAGGTGAGGGTGACTTGGAGGAGATCGTGCGAGGAGGAAATGAGAGTTTGTGGACTGTCATGGATGCAGGTTGAAAAGATTTCAGAGAACAGAGTTCACTGGCGATGTGCTACTGAAGCCCTATGTTCCATAAGGAACCCAAGGGACTGATAATAAAAAAATTAATATGATACCATTAGAAATTTGAGGACGACCAAAAAATAGTAGCAGAAAATGTGCATAGTGGGAACTGTTATGCAACTGTTAAAGGTGAGTAGCCTATAGGTTTGCAAGATAGCGATTGTGACACTTGTGAATTATTGAATATAATAAGAAGTTCAGTTCTGATTATTATGTAACGTTCGTTTGCCTTTACTAAATTTTACCCAAGCAAACTGAACCACTTTTTCTCACGTCTCTCTAGTGGATCTATTATGTGTGTGACCAAAGTTTCTTGGTGCAGCTTTTTAATACTTTTTTTCCGCAAATTGAAGCTGTTCTACTAAAGAAAGTCTGTTGTTGATAGTTTGTCGAACAGTTCCTCCTGGACAGCCTATAAATCGGCTCAAATGTTCCAATTCAATTTCACATTATCTTTTGGTTGGCGATGCTTTCGGTAGACGAAATACAAACATCTAAACACCTATGTTACGAGATTGCTTACGCAGTATTAAAGCACTATGTTTGATCAGAAAACCTTTCCATTGTTTCCCCTAAGCAAATAAACATTGATAAACAAAAGCTTATTGGGGGAGCAAAGAAACTTGAAAAAATACGGGACTTTCTCCAGATGCAGTTATATTAGGGATCAGAGGTATGTAGTCTTTCTTCACATTGTTAATCAGAATGATGAAATTTGTTCATAACATAGTAAAATCCCATCTTGTAAGTATTAACAAAATGCTTCTGGACGTCATTGTTATCACTCATACTATTATAGAGAGGTCTACTTATAAGTATGCACATAAATATTATATGTAACAACGTTGAAAGTGATAATGATGGAATGACCGAAAATCAGACAAATAACTATTGGATAGGAATAGAAAGCATCAGAATTGGGTGGATGACATTTAGAACCAGAAATGATTTGCTAGAGGATGAATATTTGCTAGATATATAAATCATAGGATAATCAGTTGTAATTATAACCATAAATGGCTATTTCTAAAGTTTATAGGATATTATTAGCTGCTTTTCCACAGCGAACGGTCTCAACGGCCGATTGGACTGCCATTCACTATTACTTAGCTTTATCGGCTTCCTGATCACCATCCAGGCATATCACCTCATTACAAATGTCTACGAATATAACTTCGCATTCCTTCAACGCTTTTTGTTCATATAATTACAAAATTTTAGAAGAATTCATGCCATACTGCTGTGATGTACAATGTCAACTATTAGACTATGTAACTGTTGCGACTTAGTTAAATAAGTTTCAGCCACCTGTTATGTGGTAGTTGGTAATGACTTCACAAAAAAAGCGGATGAAACAAGTTTTTGACGTTATTTATGGTAATCATGAAAAAAAGTAAATATAACCAAGTACGGTGAATCATCTATAATTTCTAGTGTACATTTCCGTTGGAATTTAGGAAACATACCATAGCTAATGAACTTACTATTACAAGACTACTTTTAATGATTTCATGAGTGTTGTTTAAGATCACTTACTCGTCTTGAAATAAAACAGTTTGTTTTCGCCTTCAATCTAAGCAACTTTTCACTATCGTATATATTCTCTGAACTATAAGTGTACACACAACTTCAGTTCAGATATGCTCATTAGGATTATCTAAAATAGCACTAGTGGTGTTGAATAATAGTTTAGATGATCAATATGAAAAATGTTGAAAAATCTACGGAAAACATGTAAACGTTCCTCCTTTCTCAAGAATTTAAAAGCAAGTATTTTTTTAGTCGAAAATTGGAAAGTAACAAAGTTCCACAAAAGCAAACCTATTGGATGTCCGGGTGTGCAAATATCTTGACAAGCTTTGTGACTGGGAAAGTTATTTCCATACTGTGGACAAGTTATATAGCTTCTGCATTGAGTCTCTCTTGGTTCAAAATACCATCGAGTAACCATTGCGTTGCAACCATATGGAACAGTTACAATAGGATTCATATGACACACGTCTGAAATGATAGAAAGAAACAAGAATACGAATAACTTAACGAAGAGACGATTCATTATTTTAAATCTACAAAACTATTAGTTCCGTGGTTATTAATTTCCACCTTCGGAACCTTATTCGATATGATTATAGAGAAGGGATTACATCAAAAACTCATACAATACCCCTATGTTTTATCAAACACATAAATCTGATTAGCAAACGTCGGCTTAATTTTTATCAGCCACCCAAAGGACTCATGTGTTCTAGAGTTATTAAGACGGAAAATGAGAGCGGTTGAATCTCAGTCTCAGAAGATCCCAATTTTTCAGTTGGTGCTTCTGCGTTCACCTGCTTTAACTACACTTTTCAAATGACAGTTAGACGAAATCAAAATTTGGAGGTTGGTTTGTTCTAGTCAAAGCATCACTACTTGAGAGGATTCATCTACTTAATTTATAAACTTATCTCGAGGTTAAACTAAGTGAATTGAGTAAACATCACGGGTTCTACGCAACTCATATGTAAAACGCTCGTGTAAAATGCAAACAGGGAAGTAAGAGACTGGAAAATGATAGTTTATTTAACCTCACTTGGAACTGTCTGCAAGCTCTCAGTGCAATCTTACTGACAACATTTATTCGGTAATTGATTGAGATAACAGGCATATTACAGTTATACATTCATTCTAATATGCTGATAAATATTGAAATAATGAGGTGAGTATATTTTGGCTGCTTTTCTACTTTCACTTTCACTCTGATTGAAGATATGATAATTTAAAATGGAAATACAGTTGGCGCCACATCTAGAAAGCCAATGAACTGTCGGAAGTTTTAACGAGGGTGTGACAAAGTGAAAATAATTTGCTAATTAGTCATTTATTTGATAGCATTGGTTCATTTGAGTTAGCTAACTAGATTTGGTGGTTAAGAATATTTCAGAGCCTTTGTGGACTGGCTTTACCTTGACATGCCGCTGATGAGCTCAGAGCTCAGTAAAATCTGACGATCAGAGTGAGTGGTTCATCTTCAATTACATTTCCCTGAGGTTTATTCCACTAGGCGTAGTCTCACAAAGTATTTGTTTCTTCTTTCTGTTTTTGAATCTCTTTGTTGAATCGCGATTGGACACTTACTTTCAAACCCAGTCGATTTTCTTTTTAGTCAGCGTGATAGCTTACATCTATAGTGCCCCTTAATTTCTGCACTTGCCTTGTCCTAATGTATTTTACTGACTATAGGGAAGCAGCTATTGCTTTGTTCTTCTTGGTAAGTTTCTTATAGGGTAGTGAGAACTCTAATGGGGTGCTTTTTCGTTGCTTGTAAAACTAAGGGTTACTTCATAAACTTTTGGTTAATGAAGATATCTTCGGTTAATTTGTAGGGAACTGAGTTTTAAATCTCACCTTCGCTCATGCTCGCAATGAGTGAATAGAGGACAAGATTAGTTGATATATCAATCGCTACAATGTTATTTGATTCTGTAAGTTTTGTTTAATGTTTCTACTCTAGTTTCCGGCTGATTCTTGTAACATAGTATGTAAATAAGGTTTGAATTATATATACTGCTGACTAACATTAATGTTTGGAAACCATTCTTCTCATAAAACACCATTGCTCACTAGGCCGATCAAAGAGAAGTGAACTTCACAGTATCGTCTCCCTCTTTGGAGTCAAGGTCATCAGCCATGTACGTAGATTCATCCAGGGCCTACACTCGTGCACCTTTTCTTTACACTTTCTTGATGCTGTTCATGACGGTCAACAGACCATGCATCTTCCAAATAAACTGAAAACTAGGTAAGTAGATAACATGAGTAATCTTATTACATGTCCTAAGTGAAAAATCTAGTAATCATGAGTAGAATTCACACTAACTCCATGACTTAATAATCTTCCAAAACATGAAGGGTGTACAAAAGGGAATAATCATCTTAATGATATGTCTCATTTCGCAGCCTAGTTCCTTTCTATTCATTACGCATCTGAATCTATAAAGTGATGATATATACTGGTTGAATAATGAAGTTTACTTGTGATATATTAAGGAAGTTAAATTGTGTAGAAACAATAAAAGTTAAATATTTACTAGTAATATTCTGAAATATTCCCGGAAAACTAAATGTTGAAAACAATTGTGCTTCCTTCTGCATTGGTTTGACTCAGTAATGTTGGCTCTTTTATTAAATTCAAAAATCTTAGATTATGTTTGCAGTCTGTTTGTTTCGAAAATATCATAGGGTATATGTAACAGTCATCAAAGTTTGACATTCGTAGTTATTTCAGCATCAACAGATAGGTCGGAGAGTTACATCATTTAATTTACTTTTCAACATTTTCAGTGGACAGTAATCTAATTTTACCACGAACTCGTGAAATGTCCATTCTGATTTCTGTACTACAGTACTATAAGTCACGTTGAGATAATCTTAGTAAAAGCAGATAATTACGTGATAAAATTCTTTTGCTTTCCTATCGGAAATCGATGAAAATCTTGGTAACTTAATCAGCAAACCACAAAATTAAGGTTGCAGATACCAAGGTAAGTTTGTTCAACACTAATAGTTAATAGTATCTTGTCTCTTGATATTCTTAAATATCATCTTAACGCAATATTTACTTCCGGTCTATACTTGGCATATATGAAACTCATAACTTTATACCATTTTCTTCTGATTTGCTTCATCAATATATGTTGCACAGCTAATGGCCAACAAAAATCAAAAGAGGTTACCTGAAGTTTTATGTAACCAGGCTTTTACACTGTCTAAACAAGTTGAACAATATTTTTAATGCCATTGTCATAGTTATTGTATCGCAAACCAACGATGGGTGGTAGGTAGAATCGAAAGTTATTTTTCTAACTTTTGTAATTACAAAAAACATACAACTAATTTTTGCACTGATTAGTCGACAGGAAGGTAACTAGTTTCATATTGTCTAGTCCTAAGTTCTGACCAAATTCTGTTGATCATTTCGTGATATGGCCACCAAGCGTAGAAACTAACCATCTCGACGTATTGGTTGGTTTCATGCTTTCTGGTACTCACCAACGAGGCCTTTCGACGGGAATGATGTCCCAGCTGAGGTTCAGGGATTTATGTCGACTTCGTCTATCCAACTAACATACATTCAGGTGCTTTACAATTGTGAGTCCCCTAGCTCGATGGCTGGATTGCAAAAATTGATTGATAGAGCTCGATCAGCACACTGGACAGAAAAAAGAAATTGGTTGCCTCCTAGTAACCAACCAATATCCCTGATACAGTCTTGTGGAATGTCGGTCGCGGCTCGAATAGCTAAGTGGTAACGTCTCCGACTACATCACTGTGGAACGAGGCTTCGAACCACAAGTGGGACATGAGTTTTACCAAGGATGTAGATACACCTTGCTGATGAGTGCCCTAAAGCATGAAACCTAGGTCCAAGGTTTCTCATCCATTACTTCCAGCCAAGTAATGGCTAGATTTTGTATACATATCTCGTTCAGAAGTAATTTTTAATCTAATACATTGAAAAAAATCACTACAGGTCTCAACAAAATCATTTTCAAAAGTTTCAGTTGGTAAAATAGTACTCAGTTACTTGGATGGGTTAGTAAAATTGGTAAGAATGATAATAATTTGAATCAGTTCGCACTCTTAGAGGGTGGCATTCTGATTCTCCGTCCCTGTGTTCAAGAAACGCATTAATATCAGCTGAGTACGTTGTACCTATCTAGAGAACCCTTAACGTGTACCAATACGAACTAACTGAATATATATTAACAAATAATTATTGAAGTTAGGTTTCAAAGCTGACATTAGCTACCCTTGAAACTTATTGTGGTCTTTCGCTAAATGTTCTACACTTCCTTTGAAATGAGAAGTTGAATATTTTAATTTTACAAAAATAAGCAATTAGGCTGCAAATGACCACTTGTGAGGATGGATACCTGCAAAGTTTTACAGTGAACAGTTAGAAGCGTAACACCCTGAAATAATAGTGAACAAATTTATAACCTAACATTAACATCCCATTCTATGCTAAGATTGAAATGATTTTCAGAATTAACAATGAAAGTTGTTTAAAACAAAACGGTCGTTACTTTGAGTATCTGTTCCTTTAGGTGGCTTTGGTAAGCAGTGATACTGACATGCACTACGTGTGGCATAGACTCCTTCAGGTAAACTTCCAGTTCTTGCTTGCCAAACTCCAAGCCATTGACTTGTTCTTCTCAAGCGGAATGAAAATCTTTTCTCAGATACTGTTAATTCACTTGGCTTGTCATCAGGTTCACACATTTCAAAAAAGTAACAGTCGCCAATGGAATGGTTGTAAGCCCAAGCTTGAATTCCACTTCCAGGACATTGTTTAACTGGTTTGTCAAAGTGACAGCGAGCAAATTCTTTTCATAGAATAATTCATGAAAGGAAAACATCATTAAAAGTTATAAAGTGCAACTAAATTAGGGTTTGTAAATTTTCTAATCTTTTTAATGAACCGGCAGTGATCAGAACAAAATGTCTATTAAAAAGTAAGCCATTTGAACAGAAAAGTTTGTTTCTTTTTCATAATCCGTGAATGCATTGTATTAAAAATTTACGATATCATCGGCTGGTAATCATCCTCATACTAGTTGAACTCAAATACTCGTTCTTTGGAGAAGTCGTGATGAAAGTACTAACAAACGAACGCATGGGCTGGCGAAATACTCGAACTCTCTTTTCGTTCATGAACTCATGAAAGCAGGAGTTTTGGGTGAATGAATTTCTGTCAAATCCATGGTATACAATATAATGATAAGCATTTTTCACCTTTTTTCAGCTTTACAAAATGTACTACTGATTATATGAACACTTTCAGACCACTTATGCTTATTAGTAGTGCTCTGTATCCGCATTAGATTGATCTAAACAAGAGACGGTCATTTCTCACTTTTGGGCCAGACCTAATCAGTGGACCTCTCGGAATAATTTAGTTCAAATCACGCATTGCTCAAAATATCCGGATTCTGGATAGGTACTTGGGTAGGGTGATCATAATTAGGATTACACAAGGTATTCGAAAAATATACATTCCTTCTTGAGAAATCTCATTGTGATTTCCATAGCTTTCCCATGTTACCAGTAAGTATACATTCTTCTTCGGATACTTTCATAGTCCAGAACAACCACTTATGCAACTCTCCATTGAGATGCTGACCTTTCGTTTGTGTTTACCTTTGTATCAAAATAAGTTAATATTCATCCAACTGGAAATTTTTATCTTCAACATAGTGTTTATATGATGCCCAACGTTATACAGACTATACAATTTAAGCGTTTCTTGAACATCTATAAACTTTATGCGTGACTGACACTTGACGGATTGAAAAGTAACTTGATTTTATGTTGGGTTTTTTGTCCATGAAGAACAAAATATCAGTAAGGTTGACTGGACCAGTTTTCTTTTCCAGACTACTTTCGATAGGACGTGTTAAATATGTTAGTTTACGCTCATTAGAAATTATCTCTTTTTGCGTATGTTTGTTTATTTAATATGTGATGCAGTGACAAAGTATTACTTACTGAATAAACTTTCGGATACAAATGACTCTCTAACCAAATCAACTTTCAGACAATTTTCAAACTTTTGTTTAGTGATTCTTTATTCTTTTATTTTCAGTAGCAATAGAGTTTCTCAAATATCTACGATATGTGATGCATTATTCTTGTTGGATGTTGTAAGTGTTTATTTGATGAAAAAGGATCCGATAAACAAACTTTCCCCTTAACTGAGTACATTAAACTTAAGAAATATCACCCTATCCAGCCTTAAAGACGGCTATAAGTCAGTACATGCATCATGCGGACAGCGTTTTCCCAGTTTAATCGCCTCATTAGGGCTGACCACTCTTTGTTTAACTAAATTGCCTTGTACCGATATCCTAACAGACACCAACAGGCTATTTTGACTTGTCTAGTTGACTCACAACTGTTGCATTTTACTTGGTAGATTGAACCACTTGGTTCACTTGATTCAATAGGATGTTCCAGCCAACAAATTTCCTTTTTGATGATTATCGAATGTGGATTTAAAAAGATTAATAGAAAGTTATAATGGTGATCAGTCATAGCTTAAAAGTTCAGAATCAGTAGTGCTGCGGACGATATTGTTACTTCTATGTAGGTTATCTATTAGCATTCAAGGCGTCACTTAATCGGTTTATTGTATTCTATAGAGGATCTCCATAAACACTTCTCGAAGACAGTCTTTGATTTGAGAATAGCTTTATAATTCAGCCAAAACTTTAAAGTTGCATTATTCAAGTAGTATTTTGTGCACAATTCCATGCATGTAATAGGACGACATATATAGCAGTTCAATTATATTTCAATCTTGTTTTTATTAGAGTTGCAGTTTGAAGCGAATCTCTCTCAAATACGAAGGTCTGGTTGACTAAAATTAAAATATCGACCCATGTAGACCACTAGTAGGAACTTATGGAACCAAAAGCAACCAGCCTGGTTGATCTTAGTAATACAGTCAGTACGAAGAACGTAATTCCTAATTATATTCTAGGTATTCACTGAGCACTAATACTGCATGATTAGAGCAAAGGGCTCGCCTTATTTGAGATACTATTGACAGTAAACGGTGATGTTTATTTTTATGCCCGGTAATTCTGTCTGTACCGGTTTCGAACTCTGAACAGCGTATGAGTAATTTGGTGATGACAAGTTTAAGGTAAGTTATGACAGATAGATATCCTGGGTTTGGCATATATTTTGAAAAGAAAGGCAAAATATTCATGCGTGAAAAAAGCTCTTTACTTAGCCGTTGAATAAGTTTTGCTAATACACGGAAATGCGAGTTCTGTGGTTGGGCAGATCAGTGCTCATGAGATAAATTCCCACTGTGGTGATGTCATGTAGCCTACTTGATGGCTAGCAGCAGAGTCCAAGATAAGCTTTTCGTCCCATTTGGGACTCGTCAGCTGGAGGCTCCTGGACCCAGTGAGTGATATTGTTGCCATGGAGACTAGAACTCAGTGCCGAATGCTTCAAACGAGAAAGCGTTATCTGTTGGGCCACTAGGGCACGACAGCCACCACTTGTGTAACGGGTATCAGTTGTTCTTTATTTATACTTATAATTTCCCGCTGCTATACTGGGTTGAGTTGACTGACCTTTGTGGAAATGTTTGTTTACTTATTCACATCACTAGAATTATCAAAATTACTCATTTTTGAATAGTACTCTCACGAGAAATCAATGAGCATCTATCATTCAGAGTTAACTACGTCAGATCGAGTTTAAGGACGTCCGTCATGTACAGATCACATATTTTTCCTTAACATCGATTTTATACAAATCAAAAAGATTATTTTGATAATAACATTGTAAGGAGTCATACAGTTTGATGTAATGTATACATACACAAACTATGTTAAATCATATCAGCTATCCGAAAGAAAAAAACTGCGCACAATATACAGAAACTGTTGCGCATTTTTCACGAGATGATTTTAGCACAGCTTAAATTTTGGATTGAAACTGACAATGGAACAATAATAGCCTGTGTAATAAAAACTCGTTTAAATAATTAAACAACTAAAACTAAACAAATTTCCTAGAAAAGATAATAAACATGTGATATTGTGCCAATAAATATTCACTTTATGCACACTAATAGTGTACTGTAAAAGTACTTTTGATGTCATTACAAACAATAATTTGGTTGTTGTTTACTCCCTACTACATACTGCAATTTAGTTCAATTGTATTGTAGATTTGTTCCAAGTAGATTAGTTCGGTATGCCTAATTTAGAAGTTACAATTACTAACACACTTTAACATGAGGAAATAAAAAAGTTGTTGGTTTATTGAATCTAAGCTAAGAGAGGTTAACCCACTACTGATTTGTTCTTCAAACAGAAGTCCCTAAAGGCCCTTCACGTTTACAGAAGGTCTTCTATAAAACCAGGCTGTTAACTGATGAGTGTGTTTAGGTGCCATTCAACCTTTGGTTACCTAAATGTAAAGAAGTACTCATTAAACTTAGTACTGAGTATATCACAAGTTGGTTAACAACCATGAAGGCCAAAGATGATTATTTCAATCAAATAATAAGCTAAGAAAAGAAAACTTCGTAGTTAGACCCCGAGTAACTATGTGTGAGTATTAAAATCTCGCAGGAAACATACTGAAACCTTCCAAAAACAGATGACTACCTTATGAAGAAGAAGTAACAGTATGAAGTGAAACCTTTTCATTATCCTTGCAATTCCTTCCTCCAAGTCTTACTGATCTCTTGCTGATTAAAAGTCTGGAAAACCAAATAATAGTCATCTCTCACAGACCGAATGAACAACATTCATAATTTTACTGCTTGTGTATAGCATTTTCGTTATTACCAATAAATAATTAAGTAGCTATTAGGTTCCCTGAACACTTGCCTACCAGTATGGATGAAGGTAGCTGATATATGCACAATAAAGGTTATACCGAGAAATAAGTTTGACTGGGGCTTCTCAATTTCGTTCTCATTCACACAGTTTTCATAATGTCATACTTAAGTTACTGCGATGGTCCTACTCGCAGTACCATTTTGAGCTTTTTAAAATACTGTAACTTCCTATGAGAGACTGAGTTGAATACCTGCTTTGTATTTTCACTTCAGCATTCTTCAATCTATTTCTGAAGTTAAAGAGATATGATCCATAAATTTGCTTAATTCTTACATCTGACAAAGTATACGATTTTGGTCGATCCAGTGAAATTCAAAATCGCATGAATTAAAGAATACTATTCATTTAAATTAGCGCTGTTATGTGAACTTACGGAAAATATCTTCGCGTTACTTACTTGGATTTCTCAGTCGATTTTCACATATCCTTTGACAGCTTCCTAGTGTGTCAAAATGATTTCCACGAGCTCCACAACCTGTGTAAGTGTAAGGTTGACACTGACCTAACCGACGATCATAGTAGTAACGAGTCAATGGTACATATGGATATTCGCTGGTTGTTTGATACTGACCGCCAGATAATGAACAAGTTCCATAACTGTGACTATCCAAACAAATGTCCCAAGCTGAAATCATATATTACAAGCGATTGTGTTGTCAAAACTCTACTACTTTAGAAGACAAACATAGTAGAAGGACTTCTTAAGTTCCGTAAAAGTATTTCGACGTCAATAACATATGAGGAAGCAATAAATTTATAGACTTCCATCTAATTTTCATAGCTGGAAATTTTAGATGCTTTATTTCGTGTTCTTTCCAGAACTATTCAGAAAAGTAAAATTCCTAACTTACGTGTTGACGTCATCACATTTAAGGCGCCTAAATCAAGTGCAGCTCACTACAAATTTTTTCATCACTATTCAACTTATCTACTATATTACCTTATCATGCAAGAACATCGGTAAAGTCTAAGCAAAAATGTGTACTGGATAGGTATACCAAGATCTTTAAGAACTTTTAACTACTGAACCTATAGGACTTGTTTCTCGGAGAAAATTACGGAACTCCATTTCGATAGTCATCAGACTACTTTCATGGGATGGATCCCATCACAGCAGTGTGAGATGTGAAGCTTTGTAAAAATGTATCATGAGTGGTTTGTGACTGAAAAGTTATGAAGTCTTTATCTAGCCATTTGAATCTCATCCATTAACAGGTAGATAGCAGGCTAATGGGTTTTGTCCTTTAAAGAGTTATAAGCATTCACAGAGAATAACTATCAAATGCCATCAGCTGTATGAGGTCACTGAAATGCTTAATCACGTCTACATCTCATGAGACTTGCCTAGTTTCTGTTTGCCAAACAAGTTTAGAAGGAATAAAATAGTGTATATAAGCTTTCATTGTTAAATTTATAAATGCAACTGCAACTAATCAACTCATAAAACTATTTATAAGTCTAATACTTAAGGAATAATTAATTTCCGAATAATTTTTCCCTGATTAATAGATTGCCAGTCTTGTGACTCAAGGATTACTGGTTCAAACCACTATATGATTTCAGCTTTACACACAATAACTACATAACAAAAATTGTTCGCCAACCAAACCTATCTAACATCGTTGGAGAACCTAGAGTTTAAATTGTTGAAATCACTGTATTTCAACAAGCAACCCATTTATTAGTTTTTGCGCCCTACGCTTTTTTGCTATCTTCTTCCAGAAACTGGAGCTTAAATAACTTCAGTGAACAGATATGTTCAAAAACAAATGAATATTGGATTAACAGTGGATACTGAGAAAAGGAAACATACAACTGTAAGCATTAGTTGCACAATAAATATTCACTGAGTTTAACAATATTCAGTGACAAGAGATTATTCTGGTAGTATACCAACAGATGCCATGAAAGGAGGTTTTCTGATCACTCAAATGCCTTCCTGTTGCCCACTTGGTAGTTTTTAGGAATAGAATGATTTCAAGGTTGCATTCATCACGAACTGGTGTTGTTTCGAAAATACTGTGCACGTAAGAGCACGGAACAACTGTTCCGTCCTAGTAGGAGACTCCATGGCTGTATGCTCTCTGTGTCTTCCAAGCGATCGGGTCCAACTTTCCAGGTTTTATGACCAGCACATTTTGCCATCCGGACACTGGATTATATCTCAATGGTCCACATTTCCCAATTTCCGTCAATCTGTGATTTAGCATGATTATCTTACAATGCAATCAGAGAGTATTTTTCCTCATATCCAAAATGATTAACCCCACACTTCACTACTTCGCATTAGAATTTCCGGATACCCATTTCTAAGCAGGTAGTTAATTTATAAGAGAGAGTAGTTGAACTGGTAGTTCCTAGGAAGTGCGATCATTCTGACAGCCGAAAATCGATCAGTACGTATATCTTTATGGATGAACAGTCGCTCTATTATCAAATGAATCGATAGTTTCTGAACAGATCTTAAATGAATGTCTCCTTACGTAGGATGAAAATGTTCTCATTTTGCTCTAAATAGTATTAAAATCAAAAGCGCATTATTGTGTAAATTTACTGACAACAAGTATACGCAATATTCAGGTATTGTGATGCATCAGACAGCTCGACTTCTCAACTTTGAAAGATTAATGTCGACCAAAATTTGTATTTAGCATAAGTTTTAGGCAGCCATACAGACAGACAAATCCACGTAGAACCTTGCACACAAGTGCATCAGTTCAAGTTGCCACAGTAGCATGCGAATGAAAAGTAGGTAAAAAAGGCTAATATCAAAGGTGAAAAAGTCGTGTGGAAGGACAAGTATTACACTCGAGACACTTTGCAGTTTTTAGTTTTCCACCACTGGTTAATATCGGTCAAGATGACCAGCCACTGGAAGCACGTGGGCTCCTGTGAGGATGCCTGCATATTACCACCAGTTTCAGTGTGAAGATTATGACCAATATTATACAGTGTTATAATAGACAGCAAGCAGTCGGATGGAGAAAAAGAATGAAGTGATGGGTAGTGAGTGTGAGTTCTAGATGGAATAACATTACTCAATAGAAGGTAGGTATGTCGAGCTAACAGGCCTCAAATAGTACGGAATACAAGTTCTATATTACGTCACTAACCGCTATCTTTCATCACCATCAAATATGTGAAATATCCTAAGACTTAATAGAAAACAATTATCAAATGTAGCACTTTTGTTCACACTTACGATAACGATCCGTGTGATGTCGAGTAACTTGCTTCATTTTCTCAAATACCTGAGCACTTAACAATGGGGGTTCATCATAAATTAATAATGTTTCTTTCAAAGAACTTTCCAAAGATTTCGTGCTATTAGATATACTTAGAAGGTGTGTTGAAAATTGAGAGCAAGCTAGTTCACATTCTTTTCGCGATAAAAATCGATTAAAGTTGCCCAGACAACCTCCATATAAAAATACTCGACATTTTGATGCACTGCTGTCATAGAAATAACGAGTTTGAAAACTTCCACATGGTCCAGGATCCTTTGGAAGCTGACATACTTCTGTATAAGAGACAATATTATTATTAGCTAATATTTTCTCATATAAAGTTAAGTGTTTGAAAAAGTGGTTACACTGGTGTAATTTTAAATATCACTCAAGGTTTCATGAATATTCTCCACCGGTAAGTCTAACCGCTTAAAAGTTGATAAAGTAGAAGCGACACACTGAAATGTGTACCTATTCAGTTTTATTGAGGATATTTTTCTGAATGAAAAGACTGTAGAGATAAATTTTACAATTAAATGTTAACTATGGCGGAAAAGTGGATGAAAAACACACTTATTGTCCCAGAAATATTCATAATTTCTTGTTATTTATTGACATTTGCAATTCTGTGTTGATATACTGAGTAGGATTGATCAAGCACTGTTGGTATATGAGTTCCTATGCGGATCCCATGATACCACCAGAATCCAGCGGACGCGATTTGCCCTACTCAGGTGTATGTACCTGCCTCCTAGTTAAGGTTGCTGTTACCACTGAGACTCGAACTTCGTATCCTTCGCTTCAGATGCAAAATCTTTAGCATAGCGGATAAGGATTATGGGTTTGAAGCGATGGGTATGAAGTTCGAGTCTTAGAGGGGACAGTTCCCCTCACTCGTGTGCTAATACATCAGGCTGACGAGGCTCAAATAGACAATACGTACGTCCTGGATTTCACTGCTAGTCATAGTCGGATCAATTAATCCTAATTTAGAAATGCGGTCAAGTTTATATCTAAGAAATTACCGTTTTACATTTTGACACAGTGTTGAACACCTTTTAACAGAAAGTAAAATTTATATCTGAAGGTTAATGTACACAAATTCTGTCATTTAGTCCGATATTTTCACACAAATTTATTGACCAATCAGTATACTATGATCCACAAGGTATGTAAGCCAGTAGATCAATCCCTTGTATTGAAAATCAGATTACTGTGGATAATGTCAAGACGACTGAACACAATGAATATTAGCTACTCTTTGCTGTAAACGGTGTTCTTTACGCTCGTTAATTCATTTTCAAAAAACCTAATGTCATCGATTGCAAAGAGATTATAACTCTCTTAATCTGAAGACCATATACAATATATATATATATATATATATATATATATATATATATATATATAACATATACATATATATATATATATATACAAAACCACTTCACATTCGCCCACAGTGATGTGAGGTGAAGTTAGTTAGAAAATGAAAGGACTTTTTTAAAACAATGTTACCTCACTAAACATTTCATAACAAAAATACTGATTAACCTTCACTGATATGGTTCCGAACACTTAAATTCCAATAATGGATAGTAATTACCCGATAACGCGCGTTTCATCCCATTTGGGGCACATCAGCTGGATGTACGTACCTCCCGGTCAGCGATGTTGTTCCCACCAAAACTCAGACTCGAGACCGATTGCTTTAAACACCAAAGCTACTTCAAAAAGAAAAGTAGTTTCTGCGTAAAATCTGCCACATCGTACATCTATTGTGATATCCCGTAATAGTTGGCAATGAGTTCCATGGTGAATATCTTTCAGTCTACCATAACTTGTACACTTCCAAACGGTCATGAAATTTCGTGCTTAGTAACTTTCTTCCCCTTTACCAGGTACCCAGAACTGTTTTCAGCCTGTAAATATAGATACCAGAAGCTAAAATTCACGGATTTTCTCCTTAAAGTACACCTCATACCATCAAATCACTTCAATTTTATATTTGAAAGAGTGATGTTGGAAACCAGTTCCATTGACCATGTATATTAGTTTTGCTATTCCAGGTGTTGACCAACCTAGTTCAGTCTAAGTAACAAATCCACTCTGTTTGTGATATTTTAAGTATACCACAGACAGTTTAATATTCAGGCAAATGCTTGTTTACGGCAAGACATAAAACGGAAATATCCATGTAAGTATTACAAATATTGATACTTGTGGGTCAACAATGGATGGACGCTGTATTTGCAGGGTAGGAGACGCCACCCTTTCTCAACGTTTTTTGTCGTATAGAGTTAAACCATTTTCGAGATAATGAGGAATATTTGTACTACAGGAGGATGATTTTGATGTTGTGTCCTCTGAGCTGGAAGTTAGTGCTGATGATGTTGTGTAGGAAGAAAATGAAAGTCACACGATTAAACCATCCAGCTCAGAAAACACAATGCCACTAAACGTTAGATCACTTGCCTTTCATGAACTTACTGGTTTTAATAGTGAGCGAGAAGATTCTGTTTTCTCATTTTTGTCTTAGATATTTGGGTAATATCAATTTCGGTATAGTTCGTGACTTAGTGGCAAGGCTGCTATGAAGTAGGCACTTAAAGGCTGATATAAGTTTTGCATAAAGGGTAATAAAAACTTTCAGTGGTTTCATTCTTTAATCAACATACTCATTGATTACTAAAAAAACTTCATTCTCTTAAGTATATATCATCCAACATATCTCAAACCTCTCGTCGACTAGCAGTTTGTAATTTCTACACATCCGACTTCCTGGGCTATAAAATTGTACCCAAGTTGCAAAACTTCTCTGAATTTTTGGTAATAACTGCTTACGTAATAACATTGTCATGGCTCTGTAGTTAAACGCTGCCCTAAATATACTGAATTTTCGATGAACTTATAAGCTGTCTTAGTGTTTACTTGGAAATGGTCCTATTTTTATCGAAAGCTGGTTGGTATTTGCTTGCCCCATACAGAAAGTAAAACCCAAAGCTTTCGGGATAGTTTGAAATTGTTACGGTACTCATTATTTCCCGTTACTACACAGGGCCGAATTGTTCTACTTCTGTTAGCAGATGAGCTCCTATGCAGATGCCTCGATATTGTTGAATATTCATGATGTTTTACTGATCTTGGTGACTAGTGAAGAAATTCAGTGGGCGCGTTTATGCCTTAATTTGGACTCGTCAGCTGGATGTACCTGCACCTCAATGAGTGATATTGTCCCTGCTGAAACTTGGAGCCAGTACCTACCGCTTCAAAGGCCGGAGCGTTATCCACTTAGCCACTGTGTCACAAAAGTCATCTCTTGGGTAATGAATATCAGCTGTTGTTATGATACTTGTAATTTCCAATTTCTATGCAGGACCGAATTTCCTAACCTCTGTTGGTGGATGGGTTTGGCGTTTGGAGCGGTGAGTACTCGGTTCCAGCCTCAGCGGGAACAACATAACTCACTGGCTTGCAGGTACATTCAGCTGACAAATCCCAAGTAGGACGAAAGGCACGTCCAGGTTTCCTCTGCTAGTCACCAAGACGAATATAGCTTGAAGTTAATAACCATGAAACTTCAATGTCCTGAAATAACAGAACAATCATATCTCCATTTAAGGCTAGTCTTAGCATATCATCCAAAGATCAGACTAGTATGTGAGTGAAATTCAAATGTCAGAAGTCCAGGAACAGATATGTTTAATTATTATTATTATTTATTCCCTGACGATCCAACCAAAAACAGACATCCATACAATAACTAACCTTCAAAACTTGACGCCATACATATAGTTTCACATTCACTTCTGGAGGCGAAATTATTCCCGGGTTGTTCTATTTGCTGATCTGGATGTGTGCACTCTGAGAAACGTACACACTGATTAATTTCAGGTAGATACGACCATCGATAAGTTTTAGCACTATGCTGGGTACAGTTCCACGAGACATGAGTCTTCCGAGCGAAACAACGATCTGAAAAAGTAAAAAGTTTTAAATAGCTAAGACATACATTTAATAATTAAACCGTTTTACACCACTACACTACTCCAGAAATCCACTTTGTAAAAACTGTTAACATTTTTATACATTAGTTATGTGGGCATTCGTGTACCAAGCTATTAATAACTTGGCTTCAGGAGTAAACCTCTACTTCATTTTATGCTGAAAGATAGTATGATTTGATATGATAAAATATGCAAAGCCTACAGTCTAATATAAAATGTTCACAATCTTACCATATATTACATTTATCTTTTGTACACTATTAAAAATAACAGCAGCTGAAATTCCGGAAACATTTAAGTATTCTTAACTACCCGTAAACCATCAACTTTACCATGTGGCTCACAGATAATGAGACGGTTCAAAACCGACTTCACTTTCTTCTGCCTGAATAACCTTGTAGTATCATAGTGTCAGATAATAAGTGTTTCTCTTAGCCAACTATATAAATATGTATGGCATGTAGTTCAGTTGCCACTCGCTTTAAAGTGATTTAAGCTTACAGTATGAAAAAAAGTTAATTACTATAGTTAGTGACTATATAAACACTAAGACAATTTCCCATATTCAAAATATATGAAGTAAAACCACTTGTTCAAGTAGTAGTGTCAATGATTTTCGGTTAGTTCAAAGAAACATGAGAATTAAATCTCTTGAAGATTGTTGAAACATTTTCATCTAATGCATCAGCAGCACAATTTGTTGTCAGGTTTCAAGTACTCCGGTGTATAGTGGACGCATATAAACTCAGGAGACGTCGGCTGATTCAAAAATATCGAATGATTCAACATTAGAAAAGACGTTCACATGCAAATAAATTTATTCTAATACACTACACCTAATAGTGCTTATAAGAAAATTCTGGCATCATTTGCATACTGTCGATCCACTTACAAATTTCACCACCTTGCTAGTAGTTGTAATGCATGAACTTGAGTCTTAGCACCTTAGCCTTCACATTTCGAATTAAATTACTCTAAACACTTAGATTTTTTTGTGATCGAGGAATTGACTAACATAACATGACCTATAGTTTTAAATTCAGCAAAATTCCAAGGGGAATAAGCAAGGAAAATTACTTTGTAAATGTTTTTCAGTTGGTGACGATTTTACACAAGCTCGTAAGCAATCGTAACCATTAGGAAAATATTGTTCCATACTACAACCAGGTCGTTTTGTATTTAAATGAAAGGCTTTACATGTTGCACTGGCCATACTAAAGTGGAATGCAATCACATCGTTTCCATTGGACGTCTCTTGTTGATTACCACTAACGGAAAGCGTGTAACATTTCTTGGAATGTGGATTTGAGTCACAACGTTGATCTCCTAAAAAATTGTGAATAGAAAGAAATAAAATCGCTTTTGCTGGATTATTACAGCAAAGTAGTATAAAAGAATGCTTGCGTGAGTTAGAGGATGCCACTAAACACCTTGGTCTCATTAACCTGGTCAAAAGGATTACAAAGAGACTGAAAAGAAGCTATGTAAACACGGCAGTTAAGGGGATATTCAATCCAATGCTTATGATCTAATGAGACATTTCTTCACCCTACTGCTCAAATATATGTGTTACAGTTGTATGAGATGTTCATAGTAAAAATAAAGTGTAAACATATGCCATGATTCATGTAAGATGGAAGATAAGAAAGTGGTACTTACATGTTCAAAGGCTAAGTAAACCTCTAATTCAGCCAAATTTTATGATAAATTATTGAATAAGCCACCTTTTTTTTACCATCGAACAATCTTCTGAATATAAACTGATATCTTGTTCCGAATTCTAATTGTCTGAAGATAGTATGCCGACATTTGTTCGAGAATCAAATAAAACTTTCCTTTTGCCTCCACCATGATTTTAAAAGCCACTTCTAAGTGTTAGGACAGTATGCCAAGTCTGCAAACGTAAGAGTCTGGCAAAATTTGTTACCAGGCCTTATATAGTAGTTACATATAAACTAGAGCTGTTGTAAATGCATTTAGGCATCACATGGTGTCTTCTGCTCACATTGTTTAATTAGATACTGTATCATCAATGGAAAACTAACAGTAAGCTAGCTTTATACTTAACTCATTACCAAGAAATTCAGGCCGTGATTTGATGATACCACTAATGTTCGGTAGTTTATTCGGTGACAAAAACCGCTGCACGAATCCGAGGTAGTTACTAATAGTAAACGGTGTGTTTGTTCATCAGTGCATATCAGTAACGTAAAGCGCCATTGTGCATTAACATTTTATTATGCTACACATGTTTTACTTAAAGTACTTTATTGAAAGATCAGTTGCTTCCATTTAAAACTGAATTCATTGTTTTCTGTAGTCTTGCAAAAAAATGACTGAAACTTTACTTATGATGCATCGGCTTAAGCAGTACGAGTAAGTTTCAATAACTGCACGAAACAAAGCGATAGAAGTGTGAATTCTCCTTTCTTTTTGTTGAAACATCTGCATGCGGTAACCCCATTTTATTCACTGGAAGAATAATGATGACAAAACTAACTTAATCTGCTTATTAAAACAACTAAAAACTCAGTTTAGCACTATCACTTTTCGAAAGTGAGCCTGGAACTGAAAGTACCTTCAATCATTTACTTTCGTGTTTTGGTTCAGTGAATTATCATCTGAAGTACAAGAGTTGATTCAGCTTCATCTCAATCAAAGCATTATTTGTAACCGCCCTAAAACTAGGAGATACAGCTCCCAATCAGACTAACTGCATAACCGTCTTTTCTTATCTCAGCCAAATGAGAAAGACATTTGATAGAATAACAGAAATAGTGATAATGTCTAAGGAATACTTGATTATCTGATAGGTCGTATTTATTAGAGGAGAAAGAAAGCTGGGACGGTGGAAGGATTTAGTAGGAGGATTTGTTTTCAGGCTCCAGGTAGTGGTAAGGCCTTCAGTCTTATCACCTTCATATTACTGTAAACTTATCTAACAAACTTGTCTTCATACATGTGCACTTCATCATGATTCATCCAGTGCGCTGTTTTTCTTATGCAAAGTCTCCAAAATCTCATTGACATAAGTGGTTAAGTAAAAAATCCTTTCCGTTTTTGCTACCACCAAATAACTGACATGAAATGTTAATAAATCACAATGTTCATAACCAAAATTTACGTATTTCTGGCAGAATAAATAGTGAACTTACTATCCGGTCTGACAATTCTCGCTTTACATGCTGCTTGACAAGCTTGGGCATCATCAAATGAATTTTCAGAGGCTCCACATCCACTGTAGTTATAGGCTTCACAATTACTAGTATGAGCATTAAAGAACCATCTTTGAAAATTTAAAAAGTGACAGGACTGATTACGTTTATGTTCTTCAGAGCAATTTAAGGATCGACAGAAACCAAAAACAGGATGTCGTCGACAAGGTTCAAGATCTACGCAGAAATGAAGTTTGATTAGCATTTATGTTTTGTTTTATTAATAAACATCAATACCAAATTATAAAGGACTATTTGTTTAGGTTGACCGTTTATTTATTACTGATTTATCAGTGGTTGTTTTCATGGACTGATACTGAGTGAGCAACATACTTTTCAGAAGAAACTATGTTATTTATGGTATTTTCGGCTTCACGAATATGAGAAATACTGACCGTTAAGCTTCTGTTTATGTATTAATTAGTTATCAAAGACACCTTGATGACTTATTTTTTGTACACTACATACAATTTTAAATTACCATTTCTCCAGTCGTTTATCTTCAGCACAGTGATGATTTGGCTTGCTATCACAGATGTATAAAAAGGATTTTTTTCTACTGAACAGTGTCCGGTTGTTGTTTTAGGTTCATCTTCAAAATGGATCAGAACTTTATCCAAACATTCAACTTTCCATTATGAATCCCTCATCGTAATCGTCTGAAAAGTTTTTAGTATAAAGGCAGGCCAATTCATTTGATCTGATTAACTGAAATGATCACTAAGTCGTATTCCCAAAAGTGAACTAACAATTGGGGGCAATTATCACTGTCATACTTGAAAATGGTTCACTCCTTTAACAGTCAGTAAACTGAAATTAATTTTCTCCATAAATCATGGAACTTCCATGTATTTTTAATGTACTATAATTTGTTTTCATAGCCATCTTAAACTAATCAAATTCATGCATCTGTTAGCCACAAAAACATTTGATCTTAAATAAACCGACGTTAAGTTCCATCGAAGTCGCTCACACATTGATGTGTCCACCTCTGAACAATCTTGACCTAAAAAGCTGTTGAAAACTTCGTGTTTTGTAGTACGGTTTTCCACTGTTTCAGTACACTTAATATTTCCTTTCAATATATTTAACTTTCTTGAAAAGGTACCTTACTTATTCCCACCTTCAACATTTAAATTATCCTCCATAAAATACATCACAAATATTGGGCACATGACAGCATTTTTAAAGTCGTAGCATGCCTTTTCATTCCAAATGGGGATATATTTCGTTAAGGTAAAAAGGATACACTACAAATCATCGTTAATGTATTATATGTTACTGAGTTCAATGCGTTGTAAAACTAAATAGACCGTAGCATAACGAAATATGTTCCAAATCACTTGAAAAATAGATTACAGCAACATCATATTACACTGGACTAAAGTTATTAAACATTACTTCTGTTGTCACCCTTGACGATATTTACTGGTAGTTAACTGAGACCTATCACCTCTCAAGGCAACATTTATCTGTAGCTGGAGAAAATCCAAACCTATTTAGTAATACACGATTCTCGAAAGAATGAATAAAGCTTAAACACTAAAATAATAAAAATGATCAATTAGCTGCAGTGCATGTCCCATAAGAAGACGAAAGATTTCTAATAAACATGAATAAAAAGGTAAGGAAATATTATCAAGAGTTTAAATTGAAGGAAACTCACCAATATTCATCAAAGTTAGCTTAGTCATCTTTCTTGTCAAAGTACTAATTGTAGTTCTATTTGATTCCATTGTGTATATTGTTGAAGGATCACCAACTACATCTTGAAAAGGATTATTCTGCATTGTTACATTGGTTGTTTCCTCTGGGGAATCAACATCTATTTGCAGTTCAATTTTTGTATTAAATTGACAGGTCATTTCACATGCAGCTTGAGTTGGAAATCGGTTACTATTTCCACCACAACCGGAATAATTGAATTGTCGGCAGCCGCCAATTAACTGATGGTCCTGTCCATCCACATTTGTCAGCCAATTAGGATCATAATACCACATACTCTTGTATTCTGTACATTCTCCAGGTAAAGGTATCAGCTTACAAGTGGCTATTGAACAAAGAAGAATGTTTGTTGTCAGTGATTTAAACGTTATGTTTTCCACTTATGTAAATATGATAAGTAATCTCGATGATAATGATAACAGGAAAGAAAGAAAGACTTTTTAGTAGTTATCGGTAATAATAATGCTATTCACATTTGTGAATCATTTAAGCCACTAGAATATATCAAATACACAAACGAACCAATTGCTTTTAAACTCCCGTACATCAGTATGCTTTTCTTTATTTTTTGAATTTTGGACGTTAGTAAACCACGTTCGTAATCTTTGTGGTTTTCAATGCATACAACAGCTAAAACTCACATCAGTATTAACAAAACAGTGTAGGAGTACCAACAAAAACATGTTATAACAACGCCAACATCTCATTTAGTATGGAACTTATTGATCATAACCCCAGTAGCCTTTACGTAAATGACAAACTATATTTTAAAAAATGCATTTACCAACAGTCTATATTAAAATATGAATCTCCTGATCCTCTGTCATAAGGCCAGTGAATTTGGCTGTCAAAACTCCAGACTACATCTGACACTTAGATAAAAAACCATGTGTTTTTTTGAAAGTAGAAGACTGATAAAGGGACTTCCATACGTACTACCATAAACTCAATGGAAGAGATCACTAATCCGGTTTTCATCATCTATTATCAAGAAGTTTTATTCGTTTAATTCTCTAATCAGCAACAAAAAAAGCTTAGCGTCGGTTGACTTACTCATTGCATCAGGTTTTGTAGCTCCACAGAATTGTTCACAATCAGCTCTTGTTAAAAAGTTGTTCGAAGATCCACCACAATGTGAATAAGCGAATTCCTGACACTGGTTTGTCTCAACATCTAGATACCAGCGTGATTCATGTTGACCAATATTGGGGCATTCTGGTTCAATACGCATAGCATCAATATACGTGAGATTATCGAAAAGGATTGACTCAGATATTTCTTTAGAAAAAAACTGATCATCTTGATTGATTAAACTCCATGTATCTGTTTCAATTCTGGACCACTGTGGAAATAATCGTGTCGTTGGAGCCACTTGACATAGTTGGTTTGCCACTAAAAACAAATTATCATTTAAGAAAGGTGATTTGATAGACTTCAGTTTATAAAAAGGTCATCATCTCTGTTACCTAGTTTACAAGCCACATAAAAACCTTTTATGACTAGAATTTTTTACGTTTCAAATTGTTCTCAACGCCACGTTGTACTTTCTCCAGCAATACTGTAAAATGTAAATTGTTTCAGAAAGATATTTTGCTTTATAAAGTCTTAGTATAAACAAGTTAAGCTCTCATTTTCTTTCTAAGAAAAATAATCAGCTTAAACTTCAGAAAAAACATTTGGATGTACACTGATCCTACAGAGTGTTGGTATTCCGAACCCGCCTGCTGGGCTACTAAATCAGATACTAATAAAAACTAGCTCAGATTATAATATTTTAACCTGCAACAAGATAGACTAACAGCTGGCGTTATTTATACTGTCTAGTTTAACTATCCATTTATCCATTGGAAATTCATTTTGCAAGCGTGATATATATTTTTTCATAAACTGTCATTTAATAACTAATAAATTTGTTTCCAATCACTGAAGTTTTTGGATGGGCAACTATCAGTTTAACTGAAGTCAGCTGATGTCAAAGCAAAAGTCATCGTCGAAATAGCTCTAATTCAACGTTTATATTTTGCTGCCACAAAATAAAATAGCTTAAAACAAATCCTAAAACTGATATATCAGTTTATCAAATTCACTTGGAGACTTGCAAATGAAATCATTCGGTTACGAAATAAACAGCTATTCACAATGGTTATGCAGCTTATGAACACTGGAAAACGATTATGCACCAATGTTTGGACAGTGGACAAAATTACTCATTTGTATTACTGGTACCTCCTAGATAGAGAGATAAAATCGAACTTGTTCGTTAAGAGTGGTGTGGTCAACAAAATGACAATCCGTAGATAATGCAGATAACTTCAGAAAGGTTTGAATGGCAGAAAATTGCATTCATTGTTTTTCACGAGTTCAGTTCTTAGGTTGAAACTTCTCAGCGCTCGAACTAAGCATCTTCACATAATTAAGCCGAAATGTGATTAAATAAAAATGTTAATAGAGGCAGATGTTAACTCACTTTATTCAAACAAACCATAAGTTCAGTCGATCATTTTTACAACATCTATCGTTTGTCATAAAATTTGTCATCAACTACTGGATTCCAGATACTTTGAACAGCAAGAGCTGTTCAGATTCAATAGCATGAATCATTTGTTCAATAGGGGATGTTGCAACCACCATAACTGCCTTAATCTGTTTTACTGAACGAATTCTTTGGGTTTTTTTCAGCCCATTACCTTCAAATTTCGACCCTGAATACTTTCAGCCCAAATCTTTCTAAATCTCTGGAAATCATTTTACGAATTTAAATTCTGCAAATACTGTAGTTTTTAAGCGTTAACTTAACGACCAAAAAATATATTTGACATTCATGTTTATCTGGTAATCAGAACAGTGTGACATACACTTGCTTTTGCTTTCACTGGGGGTTTCAAACTTATATATATATATATATATATATATATATTGCTTCTTCACAGTAAACCCAATATACTTACCAAGTAGAATTTTGTATGCAACTAAATTTCCGCAAGTGTTCTCACACTCTGTAATCGACGTAAATCGGTTCGCACTGCCACCACATCCATAGTATGTGAACCATCGACATTTACCAGAGACTTTGTCAAAATAAACCATTAGAATTGGTCTTACTGTTCTTCCTGGATTAAGAGTGGAACAGCGAAAGTGACCAGCCCGAGGTGGCCCCAAACAACGTGCAGTACCTGAAGTTTCAAAAGTACATGGTTTATGGTCATTACCTCTTATTGGTCCACTGAGATGACTTATAGTGAAAAAAATGTTAATGATCAGTTTTGAGAAACAAGACTCACAGAGACATAATAGGTAGCGAAGAGAAAACACCACAGGAAATTGGATTTTTAAGAATACTTCTCTAACTTCATTTTTGGATACTGTCATTTACCTGGATAAGTTTGAAAGATAAGTAATATATGTTCATTATCCTTGTTCTAATCAGTTCAAAAGGAAAACTCCAGTGAAGTAACAAGACTGAACCAGTTTGTAAGAACTACGCTTAATGATAACCTGAGATTTTTTTTCATTGCGTTTGAAGATGTTTTCCTTGAAGATCAACATCAGATGTTCAATAAAAGCTGACTATAAAAGTTCTAGAATTAATACTACTGGCAACGATTATCCGTAAACTGATATTCCTTTCCAGAATTTTTACTCTAAGATGAAAAGACTGGGTTTAGCTATGTGCTTTGTCGAAATTTTACTTCATCAAGTGATCAGGTTTGACTGAAAAGAGTGAATTAACATTAACATAACGTGTGTATTATTATTTTACGATTATTGGCACATATTAAGCGCGAATAACTTCAGTCAGCATAAAACTGGTTTTATCTTATGCCTTTCTAGTGAACAATATATATGATTCAGTAGAAACATCCGCGTAGGTAACTGCATCTTCCATTCTGTTATGTGAGACCGTCGTAGTTGTTCAAAAGCGTTGATTGCTAAACTCAGCAACAAAACCATTTCGCTGGAATACATCAGTATTATAATTAACATTATTCAGTCCATTAGCTTCAGTTTTGTTTTTAATGTTATCAGTTTTCTTTGATATTTATTTTCAACAAATTTCCTAGAATCCAGTAAACGTCATATCTACTTTTTAGCCTTCTTTCTTCTCTCCTACTCTTGTCTTATAGATATTCAAATCTGCTCACCAATATGCACATTCATCACAGACCTCTTTGACATTTTACAGTTTGATTCTCACTGATACGTTCTACCATTTCAAAGCTACTACCGTTTTCACACATGAACCAAGATTTTTTACCCTCATAATAATAATAGCTGTCACTGTGTGTGTTGTTTGTAAATTCTCATTACTCTGTGAATCTATGTAATTCTACTTTTTACTTATACGTGTTTTTAGTTTATATACAAATTACTGAATCTTGTGTGGCGAAAATGCGTGAAAACTTGTTTGATTAAATGGAGCAAGGAAAATTAAGTTTACTTTACCTCTCCAGTATTCACACGTTTCAGAACATTTTTCCTTCTTTTCGAAAACATTATCATTTATAATGCAATCGGATGTATACTGACATTGCATTTCTGTTGGGTTGTAATACCAACCACCATGATGTTTCATATGAGCATCTGTTACTTGGCTACATGTTTTGATTTTTGGATACTGATAACATTTCTCTAAAAACCAGAGGTAATGGCGTTAACAAATCAGTAAAGCAATCGAAAACAATATGCAATTAATGTCTATACAACGCTCTATGCTACTAACATTTTAAAAAGTACGCAAATGAGATGCTTAACTTTTACGTGAATTTGTACTCAGTGGTTTGTAGAATAATAGAATAGAATAATATAAATATGCAAAACTGAAACAGTGTTGGTTGTGCTGTGTTCTGTGCGTTTGGTAGTTTACTCGTGAAGCCTTCATTGTCTTTCTGGATATATATTCTACACCTTTTCAAAATTAAACTGAGGCAGTGTCTCTCTCAAGTTAATCCTTAAAACGTTTCGTCGTAGTGTAAAATAACTCGGTGTGTTAGATATTACTGGCACTTGACCAAGCAAGGTTATGTCTTCTAGATTGACTCATCTTGAAATATAGATTGAAAAAACCAGCTATTTTCGATGTTCTGTGCTGCAGGAGTGTAGGTAAAAGTTGATTACGTTGTTATATTATAATTATATTTCGCAGTATGGTATGGTTAATCTCCTCTCGTGATCTTGATTACCTATGAAGTGAAATACAACTGCATAATATGTTACACGTTGTAAGTTATATCAACCTTCAATGAACATATATGACAAAAAGGGTCACGGATAAGACAACTGTCATTGATTGTGCACGTCGAACAAAACAACTAGGATAAACGCGTGTATTGCTTTTATCGTGGTGTCAGTATGAACTTATCTGCACAAGTTCCAGTTGTATTGTTCGTCAAATATAGTTGGCATGCATAACGATAGTAAGTAATCAGATCAGTTCTAACTGTGTACTGCACTCAATGAAACAGTTTATGAAGATGAAACTGGAGGTAGAAGTTAGTATGAAAGCTTACCTTACTATTTATTCCTCAATAACTTCCAACAAGTAAACGAGTAAACTTGGTCTTCCTGATTCAGACTGTTAAGATTTGCGCATGCATTATAACACTGTGATACAAAACAATTTTTCAAAATCTTCATTCCAGAAAGTTCGATTTTGTGTCCAATTTCTGTGGAATGTTCCACAATCACAAATTTACTTTCTAGTTTCGTAATATCTGATCAGGTTTCCAATATCACTAAAGGACTGTATTATTAACAACAGTTACACAACACAGTATACTGTGGAATTTCACACCCAATAAACTGTAATCGTGTTAAGAAACTGCGAATATGCAAACAAGACTACACAGGAAGATCAAATATGTGATTTTGACGCACTTTGTACATGTGTAGCGCACCTTCCTGCCACCAAAATGCAACTAAGAATAAAATAAATATATTGAACTAAACTCACTAAATATTAATTAAATAACCTTCTAGCTCGCCTCCGAAGGAGTAAGATGTTTTAAGTTTTGTTTTAACGAGCATGCGTCCGAGCGGGCTTCGATGCCACTTTGCGCTCCGTCTGTGCTGGTTAACACGCACGTCCTCAGAGTCCCCAGCTCAGCCATATTAGTCAGATAAGTTGGATAAACTTTCTCCTTAATCATCACTATCATATTCATTCTAGTTAAATATATTCCTGAGGCGGTAGTCGTTTCGATTTTAATAAACAAATGAAGTGTGAAACAGTGATAAAGGCTGGTGGGAGACGACCCTCTTCATCTATAGCTAAACATATCATAGAAACAGGTCACAAAGTTAATGTTCAAACAGCTTTCAAAGTTTTATAAAGAAATAGTCAGCGACGTATTCTGAGATTTGCGGAAGCCATAGCTATGCACAAATTTAAACCACCTTTATGTGTGCAGAAACAGTTCGTTCTTACACTACACCTACCTTGGTAAGCTTTGTTTTCTTACTAAGGTTAGGATCAACTATGTCACTTCCTGTTTTTTTTCATCTTTGTTAATTTTAATCCCCTACTGTGTTAATTATTGCTTTTGTTCCTCCCCCCCCCCCCCAGTCCTCGGTTTAATATATATTGACTTGACAAATAAATGTGTGATCAGATTGTTCGAAATGCATTGCATAAATACACCACATTGTTCAGATAAACTTCGTCTTCTAACTACGCTATCGAAATCCCATTTGGACATAAGAAAGTACAGAAGACGATTGCAGCGAATAAAAAACTTTCTATTCGACAAAGTCATTCTCCTAGTGCTACACTCGTGAACATATAGTTAAAAAGATAGAAGACTCCAGAGTAAGTTCTAGTCAAAGGTCAGTGTAAACTACGTCACAGAGGGAAGTTATATGATGGGGAAATAAACAAAATCATTGTCAGCTCTGCAATAGAACTAAGGAAATTTGGGTTCTTTTGATGTAATTTAATAACTCCCATTATAACATCTAGAACAGGACATTCAGAGAAAAGACTCTTTCCAACGAATTTATTTTCAAGCTGTACAGTCGTATATATATGATATCTGAAAAATTATATCCGATGAGGAAAACTAAACACCCAGTGGTCACCGGTTTGAATCCAGCAGCGGTCCAAATTTTCATCTCACCTTTGGTCATCACCCAATATAAATACTAGTCTGCCAAACCACGGCTATCTCCGATAGTCAAATGATAAACACTATATGATGATGATGACAATAATAATAGAGCGGATGATGACATAGGCATTGGTGATTGTGATAACAGTTGAAGTGCGAATGATAAAAAGGTAGATTACGTAATATGTGGAATGGTTCATAGGAGGTATATGACTCAGAAGGGGGTGAAACAATTGATGAAAGTGGTAAATCAATTAAGTATCATGTAAAAGGATTAGACAAGTTGGACAAGATGAAGTCAATGTTTTCTAAAAGGATTAAGACAATTAAGTGAAACAACACCGGAAACTAGTTAAAGTGAAGACGATTATAATAACAATAATAGTGATAGGGAGGGATACAAAGGTTAAATTAACAAAGTGGGAGGGGGAGCTAATGGGGTGGGAAAATGTTATGGCCATGATAAAGACATTGACTGCACATACTTCTTTTGTACACACAGATCAGGTTTTACTTCATAAACAGCTAAAGCCTCCGCTGTTTTAAGGAGTTGACAACGAAGAGAACGTGGGAGGTTTGGGCGAATTTGATACATAATTTTAAAGTTATTGTCTGGGTTTGTTGTGTGATGGAAGTCAATCAAATGTCCTAGAATCGAACTTCTAACAGACTTTCTTTCACCTTTATAAAAGCAAGCAGGAACATGTTCTCGTATACGTGTAGAAAGCATTCTCTGGCTATGGCCGATGTACCTTGCTCCACGATAGCAGGTGAACTGGTAAATGCACATAGAGGCTGCCAGATAAAAAAGCTTATCTTTAACATAAACGGGGAATAGTTTACGGCTGGTAAAAGCCAACTGAAGTCTTGCTGCAAAGAAAGTTCTATTGATTGATCTGCATGGACGATTCCTTAGTACATCTGATGCTAGGTCACCTTTAAATTCTAGGTTCATGAACAGTGTTTTCTTTGAGACCGAGTGGATGACGGTTTAGTAGTTCTTTTTTAAAAAAAGCAGCTCTTCATCAATAGAATCGCCACTGCAGATTTTTTTATTCTATAGCAGAGAGAGTGAATAAGATTTCTTTTACTGTTGACAGGCACCCAATTATAAAAATTAGTTAGTTGTCCCTTCCACATTTTTTTTCTGTGGATGGATCTTTCCAGGTATCCATTCTTACGTCGGGTGAGAAGCACATCGAGCAAATGAATAGTTGATTCTGATTCCTTCTCCATAGTAAACTTGAGGGCTTGATGACATTCTTTGAATGAACGAAGAACACCGTCTAGATCAACATTTTTGTCACAGATAATGATATCTTTTAAAATTATGTACAAAATGTGATCAAGCCACTAGAAAGGAGTGAGGCTAAGACCTCTGGACAAAGCTGAAATATTAGCTATTCATAGATTCAAACCATCGTTATCTATTCAAAAGAAGTATGTAAAACCTTTCTCCGCCATGGCTATCGCAGATTAACGATCACTCGAAAACAATTCATTTAAGACGTTATTATTTCTTATTTCTTATTGATTTTGTTTATTTCCCCATCAAGTAACTTTCCTTTATGATACAATTTATATTGACCTCCGACTACAAATTACTCTGGAACGTTCGATCGATTTTACTATATATTCACAAGTGTACAGTCAAGACAACGATTTCATACATAAAAGTCTAAGACTATGAGGCTCATGCATAACGATTGTGGAGGTACTCTGAAATGGTTATGAACAATAAGTAAAATTCATTGAACTCATAACACTTTCGTATGACTTCTCTTATGCTGACGCTCAGATTTTCACTTCACCATAACGTAGCTATACTACCAGTCTGCTAAGCCACGGTCATCTCAGATGGTTTCATCAATAATGAGTTGGACGCTTACATACTCTAATTCAGCTTCATTTGAATTGGGAGTAGATGACATGACTGAACGTGTCACTCATTCGCCTGGCAGTCACATAAAGCACTGGACAATTCAAGTGAAGTTAAGATCTATTCAGCATATAGATCTTGTTCTTCAGTCAGTAGAGCATTGTTAAGGTATTCTCAAAGCATCTGACTTGAATTCTACCACATTAACAGTCGATCACCATCTCAAAATGCTCATTCAGTGTACAGCGTCTCTATGGAAGGAGCTACAAGGGAATCGAACCCTTTCTATAAACTGTGCGTCTTACAGTTGCAATAAACTTATGAAATTATTTATTAATTATCAATATATATATATATATATATATATATATATACTGTTGTAAATATTTCAGTGATTATTTTCATTTCAAATATACCAGTTTACAAAAAAGAGTGTCACTTCGCTTATATTTCCGACCATACAGTTTTCTTTTAGCAAGTTTTTACTAAAGCAGTACTGCTGTCTATCTAACTGTTCTTAAAATAAACATAAAAACCGGTGAACGTTTCTTTTCCTCCTTTTCCTGTCATTCATTTTAATTAAATATTCCATTAATTGACCATCAACACATTTCTTTCTAGTAAATTCCTATACATACGTTCTGATTTCTATGATAAACTAACATGACGCTTGGGTATTCTGAAGTGAAGTAAGTTCCTGTAGAAAGCACGTGATATTGACATCCATTTCTATCAAGCTGGACAAGTTGATCATTGACAAGCAGATCAAGAGAAATTATTTTAAAAAGAATGTTTACCTATGTTTGACATTCTAGGATAATCCAAGAATGCCACCTAACCAATTAACACTCTTATGCTCAGTTGCTATTAAGGCGGATCTGCAGTGTAATGCATTACTCTTGTATCACTGAACACAGTCATACAATATATGTGTGTTCTGTGAAATCCGAAGATATGTTTCATTGGTAAATTTGTATCATTGCAAATGAACTCTTAGCCTCTAATCATTTGCCCCCAACTAAAGCAAAAGAATATGGCTACAAAGAAACCTAAGTTAAAATCTCCTTCCTAAAGTGTTAAGAAGTGTAAGCTTAGTTTAAGCACACACCAACATAGAAATTTTCATCATATAGTCATCTTAGAAAGCTAAAACTGAATAAAATTAAATAGCCATTAATAATAATGCCATTGTTGTCCAACTAAATATTTAGTGATGATAAGTATAACAATAACAACACCAAAATCACTTGCCAAAATTGTAGTTGGGATGTCGTCACTAGTGTAATGTCTGCATCTCTCTCTCTCTCTATCTTATCATACGTGTGACTGGCGTTGAATAATTGATTATTCAATATGAGAATAATTCACAAGGTCATAGTGATTATTATGTGCACAAGTGAACTACTGGTTGTTTTTAAAAAGTATTTCAGTCGGTATATTTTATGACACGCTTAGGTGAAAATTCTGAGTGCTATATAACTTTTATTACATAGACTATCCAGTTGTCGACTATCATTACTGTTGTTATTGCTACTAATAATTTATTACCAATACTAGTGTCAAACAGCAATCAGAATGTCAGTCAAGTAAACCTGCTTATTTTTTAATAACTGTCAGGATGTGAAAACATTGGGTATGAAAATAAAAGCGGATGATCACAACTAACTGTTTTATTATTCATGCTTAAAAGATGTGCGAGCTCTTTGAAAGTAATTCATCTGTCGATTGTTGAGACAAGGAGTCTTTCCTATTCAAACTTTAATCGCTTAATTCCTTCATTACAATGTAATGATCGTCATAATTAAAGGTTCGTTTGAGTGCTCATCACATTCCAACCCATAATCTGAAGACAGATTTCCAAGTTGACTAACAACCTTTCGAGAGAATTGCTTCATTAAGTGTACTGATTACTATTTGTTGATATACTTGTAATTATCTCTTTATATACTTGATCAAATTGCTAGACCTCTTTTGACACTGCTTGAATATTTATTGTGATAGTTCACTTGGTTGCGGCTAGCAGGGAAATCCAGGATGTGCGTTCCCTTCTATTTGGGACTCATCAGCTAGATCTAACTGCATTCCAGTGAGTGACGTTGTCCCTACTGAGACTGGAATCTAGTACTTCTCACTTCACATGCCAAAGCGTTATCCACTAAGCCGATGCAGCACGATGGCCACCCCTTGTACAACGGGTATAGGTCGAACAATTTGATCCAGTAAAACAACGGAGAATTACAAGTATATCAGCAAATAACAATAACTGATACCCGTTGTACAAGAGGTGGCTACCGTGTTTCAGAGGCCTAATGGATATCGTTTAGGCGTCTGAAAAGATGAATGTGAGGTCCAACTCTCAGTGGGAACAACATCACTCACTGGAGTGCAGGTAAATCCGGCTGAGTAGCCCTAGGCAGGACGAAACGTGCCTCTTGGATTTCTCTGCTAGCCGAAACCACGTAAGAAAAATACTGAGTCCTACATCTATAAGTGCCATTTTTTTAAAAATAGTATCCTCTCCTAAATAAGTAGTATGTCGTGAAACTTACAACTCTCCTAATTAGGTATTTCAGTTACACACATCTGACAGGAGCTTAAGTTTTTTAGAAAAATCCAAATTTATATCACCCAGTCTTTGTCTAATAAAACAGTAAACAGCACATAGAGTGCAAGCCTTCACTATGAAGTAAGTAAGAAGTTTTACAGACAATTTTAACGTTATTTTGTGGAATATCTTTCAGGAACTTTCCCCCTCTGATCGGTATTGCCTTGTTCGGCTATCAGAAATATATGATGAAAAGATTCTTGAGTCAATAACAGCGTTCCCTTATTTCTGTCCAAAGTTCTAAAGGATTCAATACTGTATCTCAGAAGCTGATATAACTTGCTATTTAGATGCAAAACCATTTATTCCAGAACAGGGTGATTTCCAGGTTTCTGTAACCACAGGGTATTCTTGACTTACTATGAGTCCGAATATGGTACCCATGTTTGTCCTCCACCCCGAAAAACCATAATTTCTGAGGAGTATGAACAGATGTCTGATCCACTGTAGAGAACCAACGGTACATCAGTTTGATAGTGTGAGCGTAGTGTGAACACTCACTGGGTGATAAATGCCACTCTGTACTTACCTAATTCCACGTTACGACAGATTATTACTGCACTTCCTGATTATTATGATGAAAACTAAGAATTTCTGTAATTCGGAATGATACCGCATTACTGAAATAACTAGCTGGAGTTCGGAATTCATCATTCTGTACATACAGTCCATTCGTTAGATACTCTGTGTTTCTCCCCCATATGCGTTAATTGCCTCCCGTAAATTACTAACTGGTTCTCCCAAAAAAATCTTTTTTTATTGCAACTTTTAAGAGGCACGTAACTTGAAACTGAAGTATAATGCTCCTAGAAGGAAGAATGTCAGGAGTCTTTTTCTGTTAAGTAAAGTCATCTCGGCTGCCAACTGATCTTATTGAACTAAATGCTCATAGGGCGTCTACTGATAGCTTAATAACCGATATATAACTGTGACTAAGCATATAAGATTTTCTGTAACGGACAGTACATTTCAGTCAATGAATGCTACATGTATGTACCTGGTTAGTTCATGGACTGAAAATAATGTAGTATGTATTCAAATTAAGTGAAATCTATTCATTTTATGATTGATTCATCCACTCTGCTTCAATCCATTTCACTATTCACAAATATTTTCTGTTTTCTAGCTGATAGGAAGCGTGGTAATTTATAATGAGGCTAAAAGACGCTTGACACAATCAGATATCATTCGAAAATATAACATTTTATGTGACACTGGTTTGTGACCACAGAAGGACGTTCCTAACTTCGGCTGGAGGTACATCCTACAGTCATGAGGTCAAGTTCAACTGTCTCAAACACTGAGTGAATTCATGCTCCATTGCGTTACCGTGCTGAGATATTTAACTGACACCATCATCTGTAATATCAGTCTGGTGAACATTTGTTGAAAAACCTCTGGTTGTAGGAACACTGTCAGAACAATCGTCTATGGATTTGAAATGATCTGTTACGATACTACTAGCTATATCAGTGTCTGTTCGCCTTCATGCATGAGGTTATGTATTCAAACATTGTGAAGCATGAGATGACTTTGAAAGTACAAATAACATTGAATTTACCAAACGTTATAGTTTCCAAAGACTGTGGATAGGTTCTCATCACTGTAAGGTAAAAGTGGACAACTTTCTTCAGAATCAAAACACAAAAGCAATTTCGCTTCAGTATCGATCTTTTTCTGTTAAAATACTAGATTCTAGCTATCCTAAAACTATTCATACCAGCCGCTTGTTAGAAGCAGGCAGAAATTTTGGTATAAGTCATCTTGTAGCTGACTTACCGCTCACTAGTGAAGCTGATTGTTTCAATATATGAGCACCAACAATGAACTGGATAGTATAGAAAAACTAGAATGATTCATCGTATAAGGTGTATTTACATTGTGTACTCCTGAAGTAGTATATTAGAACAAATCACAAATTTTTTGTACTATTTCCCAACGTTTCTATCCTGTTACACCTTGTTCACAAAACTTTAATAAGCTTTTCTGACCTATTTTTTAAATAACTCACCAACGTTATATCAACCTCTGCTCTATATCACGATCTAATTGGATTATCATAAAGGTCACCTTCTGTACGAAAGATGAATATTAACCTGTAAACTTAATGTCAGATTCATACTCTTCAGAATGATCTTCCTGCCATTATAGAAACGTTGAGGAATATTACAAAATATCTGATTATTTTGTTATTTGTTCTAATATGCTACACGAGGACTGCACAAAAAAGATATACCATGATTGTTTTAGCCGGTGTGATTACATTCCAGAGAATATTAATCTTCTACATTTCAAAAGAAACCTTCCCATTTGAGCTATCTTATAAAGACTAATGAAACTTGTCATGTATAACTCAGGAGTCGGCAGTCAAAATTTGATATTACTCAACGAGGACAGCAGTTTATACTTGATATGTTTATGTATGTACTTTATATGTACACTGACTGATATACACTGAACTCACCACCATTCATATGAAAATCTTGCCACTACGCATTACCAAATAGTAGAGTCTTGGACATATTTGCTTTTTTAATTTACTCAAATAAATTGCTTAAGTGTGAAATATTTCTGGATTACCCATTCGAAATCTTTTGAAAAGGATTCAAGGTCAATAATACTTTAAAATGTTGGTGTGACAATGTTTCGATATACATACCTAGTTTCATGTTTCTTTCATTATGACTTCCAGTTGACTTTCCACTAGTTGATGGACTCGCAACCTGAAGTGTCGACGACGTATCCTGTGCGTTCACTACTGTCTTCTTGCCAAATGTTTTGCCTAAGATTACTGACTCAGGGGATGCGGTTTCAGCTGGTATTTCAGTAACTGGAGTTGCTTCTTCAGACACATTTGATACCAATTCTTCTGCACTAAACAGAACACTTGCAGTCGTATTATCAAACTCCCGTGAGTCATTTTCTGGTCTTACAGATGTTTCGTTTTGCTGTCGAACAACTTCATCAGGCGTTCTAAGAATATTTTCAATGGCATAACTTTTATTCTGTAAAACCTCTTCTGTTGCCTGAAGGTCAGTTTTTGATAAGTCAGATGTTTTATTCCGAACACTAATTTCATTCAAATCCAGACCTAATATTTCTGTCGTTTCAGCAAAATAACCTGTAGATGTGTATTCATCAGGGACCGATAACGGTGACTGCAAATAGTTTTCACTGGTGTATGAAGACGAATTTATATTCCCAAATGGATTAGGAAGCATCGGAGAATCACTGTTGTTTGTGACATCGAGTTCATTTTCGTCTTGAAGATTGTTAGATATTATATATAAAGCTTCGATCACTTCTTCGTTGTTGTTCAAATCTTCTTGTTGATTTTCAGCCCTTCAAGAAAAAAATTAAACGTAAAGTTTCAATGAATACCATGTCTGTCAAGTGAATGAAAAGCTATGCATTTTATTTCGATGTCAAGAAGGAGTTATTTTCACGAGTTTGACGTATCTGAAAGCTTGAAGAAACTCATGCAACTGAATAGATTGGAGTTCTGATCACCCAGTAAAGCAATAAAATCAATCACTGTTAGACTATTTGGCTAGTGAGTAAGTGATACTGGAAGTAGGCAATATGATTCCCGTTTTCAATCAGGTTTCATTCCTTTGAAATGTTATGTGGTTACTAAGATGGGGATCCCCACAATGAAGTGAACCTGTCTTTTGTCCGACAGACTGATTCACCCTCGTACTCAAGCCTCCTAAATCTGTCAACAAAGCTGGTTGTATGTTGAAAAAGATCATTTCTCCACGTGTTAAACTTCAAGAGAAAACTTGCTGTTGTTCTTTATTTACTAGTTGTGCACCAGATCTTGAGATTCACTTTTTAGTTTCTGGCTGCTTTCCTAAGACGTTTAAAGCTAAACTTTATGGAGTTTCACCATTTGTGTAATTTACATGAACTGACAAGTAGCTGAAGTCTGTCTCTGGATAGAAAATTGATTAATTAAGACGTATGCAATAACTTTTTCTCTAGTTCATCTCGACACTACACTTACTAAAAACTAAGTCGTTGTCAATGGCGGAAACTTTGCCAAAGAAAGGTTCTCACACCTCCCAATCTTGAAATTATTTGTATTTTTAACAAATCACAGTTTACTATTACCGAGTGGAGTCATTAGCATCTACAGTTGCTTCCAAATTCATTATACGCATCCTTATTGACCAACATACGTTATTACTGACCAATAAAGGCATTTTAAATAGCTGCCTGATACGTAACTGTAGCAGAAGCTGTAGATCTAGTCGTCTCGCACATGCATAATTGACAAATTACAAACGTAGCTTTACTTCCATTGTATGTCACGAATGTGCATAGATCCTCCATTGATTATACAAGCTTTGATAATTACTCATCAACTAACCGACAAGTCTAAGTAACTTTTGAAAGCTGTCATCCAAAAGTTAAACTACAGTATTAATTTTCCAGAAAAAATCCTACCTTTATTTAGCTCTGCCTAACATGAATATCAGGAACCTCTAGAAGTCATTTTCATACTTCACAATGACAAACTGAACTCATATATCTAAAAAAAGAATATTCATAAAATACTCTATTCTTTTTCTGGTCTAATTCTGTCATTTAGTGTTAATTTACAATCAGTCTTTGGTATTTCCTGTCACACATCGCAATCTGTGATCAGCATCCTAAAAGAAAAGGGTTCACAAATAAAAGTTCTCAGCAGCGGGAATCTCAATACTAACGGTTCTGTATGTGAATAGTTGGTCAACTTGGAATCTATCCACTGACAGTGAACTCACTTAAAAAAATTTAGGCCGTGCTGAAGCTAACAGGTAAGTAGTTTTATACAGAAAGATATGTATTAGCATGAAGTGCAGTAGCTACTGGAACGTTATATCATAAAAAGGATTTCTGTAATTCATGTATCACTTTCTATGTAGTTACAGAGAACAGTGCATCAGTGGGTGAACAGAGTGTTGTCTGAATAATAAAATTCACTTAAAGTCTAAATAGTTCTACCGTGGTAAATTGTGATACACATAATAACTGTGACACCCTCCTTAGATGTTCACAGCTACACAAACTATTGTGTTATTATTTTGATGTCCACAGGCTAGTTTCACAACTCATTTTGTTCGTTTCACACTTTAACTTTGACCTAAAACACTTCAAAATTTATGCCGCTGAGTGGAAGAGCAATCAGTCATTCATGTCTTGAAATCTCTTGCTATTTTCGAACAATAACTACTACAACTTTACTCTGTAACCCATCAATGAACGACATAACGAGAACAGATCACCTGATTTCCTATTCTTTCCACTCAAAATTAATAAATTTTGATTTTTTGTAGCTATAAATTGCAATGAAAATCATGATATTATGACTAAGTAAAACGTCACTTATGATTTCTGCTTAATTGTGCTATTCTTACTATCTACTAATGCATAAAACCTTTCTGTAAAGATTACTTTTTACCTACAGACCTCTGTTATATCCCCAATGAGGAACTGGTTCTTTAGGTAGAGGCTATACATCGCTTTATAGCAGACAAGTTTTATAAGGAACAGATTATTGATATGCATAGATAGAGTAAAAACACAGATATCGATGGTCTGGCCAATAACGTCTCTGGAACTGAGGGTTTAAAAACTTGCTTTTTAATGTATGTGGCTGAATTCTCATAGTTACAGAATTGAGGGATTAAAGGTAGTGTAGTTACGAAGATTTTTATTGCACGCCAATGGATTAATTCATAGGAATAAAATGGATCATGAATTTTGTTAAAATGTGCGTTTATTTTAGACAACAGATTCTCAAAACTAGTAGTACGAGTTACAATTTCTGGTACTCCACAATAAACAATAGAGACATTTTAAAAATGAATACTCCGTGAGAGATTAGTACGAGCACAGTGTAAAACTGCATTCCAAAACGTTATTAGGATTTTCTTGAAAGTGATGCGCGGTAGCTGGTGAGCGGTAATCACACTGCTGCTGAAATCAAGTTATGCTTATTCACTGACATTCCACATTAATTCAGGAAGTTCTCTGTGTAACGTAAACATTGTGGAATTATCATTATACTGGACCGCATAAATGTAGATCAGTCACTGAATGGTCTGTGGCATAGATTTCTTATGGAAAGTTATTATCGATAATATTGTCATGATTACTAAGTGATGAATTCAGTGTGATCGCCTAAAGCAGCTCATATATATCCAGCTGAAGAAGTATGATCTAAGTTACCTACTCAAATCCAGTCACTTCTATGAGGCAAACATTAGTTGTGATCCGATCAGAACGGTTCGTCATTTCAAGCATTGACCCTTCATACACGCTGGATGCAGGCCTAGTGTTTCGCTAATAAGAAAACATCGACAAAGATCATTCGAGAATAACATGCTTGGTTACGTGGTATCGATGAGAACAGGTTTTACCCACCAGTATCTATGGGGAACTACCTCCTCTAAACTGTCCAATAGAATACCGATAAGCTGTACCGGAAGAAAATATTTGCCAATCTGGTCGACATCTGGACGAGCGCCAAATGACATTGTGTTAGTATTATCCTCACTCTGATTCCAACATGCATGTAAAATAACGGATTATTGCCTGAGTAACAAATATATTCTACCAAAATTCTTTTAATCATGCGAATCATGGATAAGAAATCTGTTTAAGACGCATCGACGTTCTGGAACGAATGCATCACCTGGTTGACTTGCCAACGAAGGGAATTTATAATGTCTGAAAGTTATATGTGGAGGGTATACGATTTACTGTGAGTCTTGAAAAACAGATAAATTCAGAAAATTGGTGATGTTAGGTTCGGTAAACTGGATAGTATGGCGGTGAAGCTTTCATTGTCATACTAGACAACATCATAAGCATAGACTTCAAACTTTCTGAAGTCCTTGCTGGTGATGTGGTCTCGGATGAGAATGAAAGCTTCGTAATCAAACCTTCTATCTCAGGGAACACAACGCCACCAAAATCACCCTCATGAAGTGCAAATATTCCTCATCATCTCGAAAATTTAGAATCCCTAGTGTAAAATGAAACCACTTTTACTGATAGGATTATTTTTTGAAAGAGAATGGAAGGAGACAGATAAACCTACGACTAAAATTCCCTGCTAACAGCTCGAGTTGTGAAAAGGTAGGAACATATAAATTTACAAGCTTGACAGACACAACTCAACAGTAATTATGGATAAAACTGGTCACTATTCGAAGGTAGGTAAATATATACAAACGGGATAAAATTAAAAATTGGAATGTCGAAAAAAGCATATTTATGAACAAGATTAAAAAGTCTATAGCTGATCCAATACACCAAATGAAGTCACATCTGGGCCAGTCTAAATGGTTGGATCTAGTGCTTACAACTTTTGATCCCAAAAAGACGTATCACATCAATAAGTCTCACTACTGAAATTTACATACTAGGTCGACAGATTATTTCAGAAACTTACCAAAATTTATGAGCTCTCCAGATATTCAGCTACAACACTGTTTTCTATCAGTAATCAATAGAAACCCGTGTCAACCAATTCCCTTGGACTGAATCAACAACTACACAGAACAGAGTAAATTGGTGGCTAAGAAAATTAATAGTTTTTACTTAAGAAGCTTTCATACTATTAGTTCCATCAATACAGTAGTTAAAGCCATCGAAAGTGAGATCGCCACTCACTAACAGCTAATTTGTAGAACTCAGAGAACAATCGAAGGGATCTTTCAAAGGGGATAGCCTTATGCCACTCCACAAAAAGACTTGATTAAGATTTCAAGGGAAACTTTATCCCCAACTTTAGATCAGTTATTTTGAATCAAGAGTTCACTTGTCCAATGAAGATATTTATTCACCAAACGAAAGCTACATGAAAAAGAAAATCATATCCGACTTTTTCAGTTGGTGAAATCTAACTGGTAGCTAGAAGTTGATCAGCACTGTACTCAACCACACTTGTCCTACAGATGCATTTTTGTTTATAAATGAAAGTCCAAATGTTCAGTCGTCATGGCATCCGACTCATGCGACCCAGATGTTTAAATACGAAATATGTGGCGATTCATTTTTATGATTTCTTGGTGACTGGCGGGAAATGTATACGATGAAATGAATATTTCAAACTAACATTATCAATTGTAATCAAATCATGACAACACATGAAACTAATGCCATTTGTTAACTAAAGTAAAAAGAATAGAACACTTACTGACTTGCATCTTGTCGCTCCAGAAAAGTTTGTTCACTAGCTGAAATAACAGTAGGTTTAAAATATATTTTGCTCCAAGTTATTCATGTGTGCACCTATGTATATTTGCATGCGTCATATCATTTTAACGAACTGTATACACATTCAGGAAGTTCATAAAATAATACATATAACGAGTTAGGAAGTCAGCACTTTCTCCTTTATTAGTTCAATACTCTGAAAACATTTCTCTGCAGCTGACACTTTGACCTAGTCACCTTTCCAAACGAACATTCATCCAACAGTCATGCATTCAATCACACACACCACAATTGCATGTCATTTCATTTAATAATAGCTAGGGATAGATATCGAGTAGCTGCTTAGGGTAGGTAGTGCATAACTGCATTCCAGTCATTTCATCACTTTTTGTTCTTCACAAAAACGAACTGCCTGGTTCAGCTGCTTGACAAGTTGATGAAAATCTATGAATGTTACATGTCATGTTTCAGGGTCCTGGTATTACAAGCGGAAAATGTACTGCAGAGTTAGATATGTGTCTAAAATATGCTCTTGTAATATAATCATTCACAGTGAAATTTATAACCAAGCTACACTAGCCACACTTTCAAATTTAGTTTTGTATGCAAAATAACACTGAAAGTTACATAATACCTGAAGGCAGTGTTACACGTGTTTGAATATTCAGGAGAAACAAGCTTTTCGAAACCCATGAGACAAGGCTTTTTCACTCCCTCTCTCTTTAGGCAGTTAGGATTTGTAGTTTGCACACAGATGTCATGCTGAGACAGATCAGTTTAGTGTTGCGAATCAACAATGCAATGAATGAGCTAATCTCTGCTAAATAGAATATGGCCATTTGTAACTCGTTAGCCTAGTGGATAAAGGCTTGAAATTTGAAGCGATGTGTCCTGTGCTTGATTTCTGGTAGAAAAAGCGACTTCTTTGAGATTCCTAAGATTGACCACTGCCTTCTGGACCAAGAAAGATCTTCACGAAAACCACTCACAAACAGGTAGGCTACTACTTACTCTAAATGAACAACCGTATTTCAGAGATGATTTTTTAAGCAGAGAAAAATCTCAGAATTTTTTTCCGGCATGAGTTATTTCGCGGATATTTAACTTTATAATATTAGAATTTGTTTATTCTAGTAAGTATATTTTCTTTCAAATCACAGGGAAACCATGGATGAATTCTCACTAGGCTTTAAGAGGGTCTGATAGATAGGCCATATGAAAATAAAAAAATGAGTTATGAAGAGGCTGTATGCAGCTTAATGTGGAGTAAAATTAGACTTCGTTCCTAGTCATATATCGAATCTTTTATGCATATGCATAAATCGTCTTCCACACTATCTACAATCCTTAAGAGTTGGCCACATGTTGTCCAAAACACTTTCATAAACACATTCTTATTCGAAACAAAAACCCCTACATGACTTTTTATGATTCATCCTATAAAAAAACTCCTGGTTTATCCACACAACAAAAATTGTTTATATATATTTCGATTGGCTTGACTGTTACCTGGGGAATTGTGTGAATCTGTTGGACTGAACACTGGTTCGTATGTTTTGTCTTTCTGTTCCTCTTCCTTCGAAGGTTTGACCGACTGGTGAATTTCTTCTTCACTGGTGTCATTATGATTGGTGAAATCCGCCTAAAATAAGATAGTAATCATCCACTTTCTTGTTGACAAGTACTTCGGAAATAATTTCACAAAATAATAAAACAACACTAATATCTATCAGAAGAATAATCTGATTTTGTCAATTCATGAATAAAATAAACCGCAGTCGAAGAAACTCCTCAGGTCATAAGTCAGTTCAACATCTGAGATCCCGCCGTCACTTGCAGAGTCTGATCACCGTTAAAACAGAAATTCAACAGGCATAAATCTTTTCACTTTATCTGATTTTGAAGCATGGTGTACCGAAGATGAGAATTCATTGGTGCTAAGAAATTACTGGTATTGTCTTACAAATAAAACCGATAAATTAATCAGTTCACCCCAGAACAAGTGTATTTCCCAGTGACTGACACTCTATATCATAAGGATAAATGCCACTTGCCTAAATGAAAAGTGACGTCACCTCTTCCAAGAAATTACTATTGATGACACAATAACCAACGATAAAATATCCCTCTTAGTCTGCTGGCGTCAATTTACATATGTGCGATCATCGTGACGATCACCTATTCATAAAGTAATTGAGTTAGCATTTTCATTACCTCAGAATTTCGGTAATTAATCAACCTTTCCCCGTTCCTTGTAACCATTCATATTCGTGAATGCTTGTGTTGATGCGATGATCAGCTGACTAAATAGTATTACATTAGTATATTTTGGATAACACACAGTAATATTACATTGTTTGCTGGGTGATGATTGGAGCAGTTTAATGTGATAATGAGCAGTAAATTGTGTTTGAAATGTCATCTAGTACATAGTACTATATCAAATAGACCAGTCGAATATAGAATTAAAGTACCCAGAATTGGTACTCATACTAATGGCCATAGAGTAATATAATGCATCAGTCCTACAATAATCTACCTTCTCAATGACTGATGCTGATTTCATCGAAATAGACAATATTATGCATTCAGCTCTAGTCACGACCACTTATTTGTCGTTTCTATTTTCATATTTATTTGTGGTAAACACTTGATTTTTACCACTATATCGATATTTCTTAGTCAAAGTGTTGCTGTTGTACAGATGGGTTTCTAATAACTGCCTTTTAATGATAGGAATTCAACTAATAAACAAATGTTCCATGTACATAGAACTTGCTGATAATACTGGAACAAATAGCTTGTCTTAGCAGATTCACCACAATGTGGAGATATAATGATCAGAAATGGCAGCGAACTTGAATATTCAAGGAGCTTGTACAAGTCTGTAAATCGATAGAATTTTGCAAGTTATACAAATACAGCAAACTGAATTCACAACTGTGGGAAAGCACACCTAAAAAATATTCGAAACACACTGGTTTGGAACAAAGTTAACAGTTTATATTTACTGGTATATAACTAAACCGTTGCATTACCTAATGAACATTTGCATTTTAGAGGAAACTAAATCGGAATATAAATGTCTGAATTCAAGAGGAAAGTTTCTTCAACAATTATCTGTGCGAAACGACTGAACTTAAACAACATACAAAACATTTAAATTCGAGCAGTTAGTTCAGTGAAACGAATCCTTTTCCAATCATTCATTTTCAGTTTGAAAGTTTGTTGGGATTTATTGACTACAGCTCGGTGTTCATCATGAACTGATATCATTTGGAGGAATATTGGAAACCTGGGAGCACTGAACAACTGTTTCGTCATCATCATTCATCATCATTATCAACATAGGACCAGGCATTACTGCGTAACGGTCCGAGTTGCCACACCTCATATCAGCACATCAAGTAAAAAGGTAGTGAGGTGAAGGATGAAGATAAGTGAATGCAGTCAAAAGAAATATAAAGTATGAGAAGAAAGGAAAGAGGAGTGACAAAATAGTGAGATTCGGTATAGCGTTGTTAAGATGAGGATAATGTGTGTATACATCTGCGCCACTGACTTCGGTTCTGAGCCATATCACCTAGGGTCTCCAACCACTGGTTCCTCTTGTCCCGTGGACCCCAACCACCTAGTCTGCATCGTCCTACATGGCTTAAACCAACAGTCAGAGACTTCATACATTGGTGCCATGTTTTAGTCTGGCCACCTCGGGCCTTTTTCCAGCCTGAACCCACCTCAGCCAACATTGTGTGACGAGGCAATCGGTGACTAGGCATACGTAGTACGTGTCCCAACCATCTCAGTCGATGAAGGTTCACAACCTCGTCGACTGACTTACCTCTTCTCCCTAAAACTCTACACCTAACTTCTGCATTACTCACATGGTGACACCACGGAATACGTCCTATACTACGAAGGCAACGGTGGTCAAATACCTGTAACCTTCTCATGTCTTCCACTTTCAATGGCCATGTTTCACAGCCATACAGTAGAACAGAGCGGACTGCTGTGCAGTACACGCGACCCTTAATAGACAAACGAATATCACGGCGGCGCCATAGGTGGCGCAAATTGGCAAAAGCCAATCGAGCCTTTTGTATCCGTGCAGAAATCTCATCGGCAACTAACCCACCGGAGTTGATCCTACTTCCCAGGTAAGTGAAGTGGTCAACACACTCAACCACTTCACTCTCTATTGTTAACCGCGGTACCGCTGAAGACCAGTCCTGGAGCAAAAATTTGCATTTGGGTGGTGAAAATCGCATCCCAAACATTCTCAAATTCCCACTCAAAGTGTTCAGAAGACTCTGCATCTTGTCAGCGTCTTCACCTAACAGGACTATGTCATCTGCATATTCTAGATCTAAGGAAAATTCACCTGTGATCCGGTCAACGTCTTTGTAATTAGGTGACGAGAGGGAAACCTCCATAAGAATATCTATGATAAAATTAAATAAGAATGGGGATAGTGGGCATCCTTGACGGACACCACTTGATGAGTATAGCTCCCTGGACAACTCACCATAGGCTCTAACATGCCCACAAGTGTTCGAGTAGAGAGCTTTCAATAAGGTGATGTACTTACTAGGCACGCCTTTCAGTGACAGACACTGCCATAAGACTTCTCGATCAACGGAGTCAAATGCCGCCTTCAGGTCGAGAAATACAGCTATTGTCGGGCGTCTGTAAGCATGCCTATGTTCCAGGACCTGGCGCAGTGTGAATATTTGGTCGATACATCCACGGCCAGGTCTAAAGCCTGCCTGGTTTTCTCGGGCTTGCTGTTCCCGAGCTCCACTCAGGCGTCGGAGAATTATAGAACTTAGGATCTTAGACACTATGTTTGTCAGGCTGATTCCTCTGTGGTTATCACAAGAGGACTTCTCGCCTTTCTTGAAGACTGGGATGATCAGTGACTTAGACCAGTCGGAGGGGATCGTATTTGATTCCCATATACTGGCTAACACTTCCGTTAGCCTGACTAAGAGAACTCTACCACCATTCTTGTATACCTCAGCAGGTAGTCCGTCTGGTCCTGCTGCCCTTCCCCGTTTCAGGCTACCTACCGCTTTCTCAACTTCTTCTAGTGTTGGGGGACCTGTCTCTATGTCCCATTCAGGGTCCGACTGGATAGCGGGCAGCGCAATGGTGGCTGGAGGCCAGTTAAACTGTTCCTCAAAGTGTTCTGCCCATCGTCCCAGTCGCCTTCCCTGCGAGTGAATCGCCGATCCGTCCTTCTCCGCTATAACCTCACTAACTGTTGTTGACCATTTCCCCCCAGTCTCCTTAATAAGTCTAAATAACTGTCTACTGTTACCGATCGCCGCTGCCTTTTCCATCTCTTTAGCCTTTGCTGCCCACCACTGTTCACGATCGTTGCGCAGACTTTTCGTCAGTTTATTTTTAAGTTGCGCTCGCTCTTCATTGTACTCAGAGCCTGCAGGGATGCATTCACGTGCATCCATTAGTTTGGAAGAAGCTGCTGATATCCACTGGCTCTTTTTAGCCATTATCTTGGAGTCGGCTACAGTCTCCAGTGCTGCTTTTACAGTAGACTGAAGATGGCACCAAGCTTCTTCTGGATGAGTGACAGTCTTTTGTTCCGATAACTGCCTAGCCAACTTCTCACTGAACACGGCTTTGGTGTTTTCGTTGTCCAGCAGAACTCGTAGTGGTTTTGTTGCCAAATTTTTTCTACGTCCATTGAGACGCAGGCATATACGTGCTCGGACCAACGCATGATCGCTGTCCAAACACGTACTCCAGAAGGAGCGGCAGTCTTCCACCGATCCTCTCCAGCGATGACTAATAGCAATGTGGTCTATCTGTGTCCATCGCTGAGTCGAGCTCGGTGGACGCCAGGTCAGACAGTGCCTTTCTTTATGTCTGAAATTTGTGCTGGCTAAAAATAGGCGGTTATCTGAGCATAGTTGTAATAGGCGATCACCGTTATCTGTACGTTCAGCTGGGATTCCGAAAGTGCCACCTAAGTGCCTTTCTGCCTCACTCAGTCTACCCACCTGTGCGTTGAGGTCACCTGCAACAACCACTACGTCCGAACGTTTGGCTTTCGAGAGGAGGTTAGACAGTTTATGGTAGAACTCGTCCTTCACTTCATCCGAACTACAGTCAGTGGGTGCGTAAGCAGAGATTACAAAGAGACAACGGCGAGTCTCACTATTCCTTTTAGTTCTCACTGTGCCGTTCAGCCTCATAGCGCAGAGGCGACTATCAACTGGGATCCAGTCTAGTAGTGAGTTTTCTGCCCTGGTGCTTAATGCTATACCTACACCTGCAAGACCACGAGAGCTAGCTATCGAATCTCCAGAAACTCGAAGGGTGAATTTTGCAGATTCACCAGATTGGTCAGGAGAGGTCAGGTGAATAACCACACTTGGGTCCTGTATGCGTGTCTCACAAACACAGCACACATCCATGCCCGAGTTGCTAGAGTCTTTGCCAACGAAGCCTGTTGGCCAATTTGACGGAGGGTGCGGACATTGAAGGCTCCAATATGTAATTTGGAGCGTGGTTTAAGGAGACCAGGGACACTGTTCTGTGGACTCAGATCGTTGTCGAAGGCTGCAGAGGTAGGAGAAATTGAAGATGATGCAGCATCATTAATTAAGAGACGTGAAGGAAGATTAGAAGGTAATGATGGAGGAGGAGGATAGCAGTCAGAAGAAACTTGGGTGCTGACAGAGTTGTGAGGGCGGTTGACACTTCCCGGCTGCCCACACCGTGGAAGGCTATTTCTTCTTAAGGTACCTGAAAGAGATTTGTGTGACCGCAGAGCCCATCGGACATCTGCTTGAGGCCTGTCACACCCAGCCTTTTGAGTATGATTATTTTGAATTTTTGTATTTTTGGGGCCGGATGAGCGAAAGGAAACGACAAGTGAACCAACACCGCCGGCCCGGCAGACCGTGGGGCGTGGTGGAGTGTGTTATTTTTGGGGCCGACCTTTTCTAACCCCCCCTTCCACTGAGAAGGCAGCATCAGCTTGGCACTGCTGGTCATCCAAGGGAAACACCTTACTGCTGTCACACCCCATCCAGCTAGCAGCAGTACGACTTCGCCCTCAGACCCCCATCATAGTATAGCAATTTACACTATGACGGTAACTGCTTTTCGTCTAACCACTACCCAACAGACCTTTCTGGTATGGTAGGACCTCGAGGGAACAAGCGTTCCACCAGCATAGCTCGTTGGGTCATTGTGATATGCAAGCCCGACCACCACGTCAAGGTAGCAGCTATCGGTCAAGAGCAGCTATCGTCCTAGTACAGGACTCCCCAGCAGGGGGCACATATGACCAGTGCCCCGAGCTTTCCACTATCCCTCCAACTAATACCAGTTCATGATGAATACCAACCTTAAATCATTCATTTACATAAACTGAATATAAATATTAGATTTTCATCACCAAATGACTAAGTGCATATATTTTTATGTGAGAGAGAAATGGAGTGTGAAAATACTGTTACAATGAATTATAATCATGAGATTAATATTGTAGTTGAATAAGAGTGTAAACTATATACATGGAGTTTGAGTAGTATTCAGTGGTTCATCAGACAGTGGTAACTGTGCCTATAATATAATTCCAGTCAGAAAAGATTTAGAACATATTTACTGAGGTATGAGTGTAATACATGAAAGTAGTTTGTTAAGTATTGCAACAAACAAAATAAGGCACAAAAATAGAAATATCATTTTCTTCAAAGTGTTTATGAATCCTAAAAAGTAATCAAAAGGCATAGTAAGAAGCAAAAGTAAATTGTCATAACCTAAAGATCCACAGCTATCTAGATTATTAAGACTACTTTAAAGGTCGCCTTAGCAACGATCGAAATAACCAATTAGATTTCTTCATTTCTGCTAGAAAGGCAGATTTTTACAAAATAGAGAAGTCTGTTCGGTTATTTCATTTGTTGCTGTGGTGGCCTTTAAAGTCACTCAGATTATTGAGTATTACTCAAGACATCCCAAAAATTTGTTAAACACAACTAAGTTTGAATAATAAGTGGGGCAACAACACAAAGTGTTTAATCAATGGACTCCAGTCAAGGTGACAAGAGTTATAAGAACTAGTTGGCGAATGTGACAAATGATTACAATACGACGGTTATATTGGGGGTGATTAGGACCTTGAGAGAAGTCAGGGTTATACAGTCTCTCTTGTATGCACAACTCTAGCTTTTCTATTTGTATCCCTACAGCTTCAGTGATACACAAAAGGCGGAAACATACTTATTACTAGTATAGAAAGATGTGAAAAATACTCATAGTATGGCCAGCTATGAGATGTGAGATTGATACCGGAGATTATCAGATGACTTAGTCAGACGACCACATATTACCAATAATAACACGCAGGACTCAACAAACTGTAACTCTGACTTCAAATTACGGATTGCCAGAGCTTCATATATGTACACACTAAGCATAGGTGTAGTTATTAAACAACGTTTAACTGGATTTTGTAGTCACTCGATTAAATGCACAGAAATTCCACTGTATGCAAGTATCTTCACGGAATGAGTAAGATAAGAAAAAATATAGCAGTTAAGTCATTTTAAATTATTTATCCCACTCAGTAAGAATAAATCTTATAAATTTATCAAAAATTATTGAATTTCATTTTGGCACAACAAACTTGGGTATTTGAAAGAAGTTTCTAAAGACACTGTCTTTACGCTAACCATCTACATTATTGAAAATTACATTTATAAACCATATCAGAACAACATTTCTTCACGCTGGTTCTACAGTTTTCTCCTTCTTTGTTCCTTAGTGTGCAGTGTCAACAAGCGACCATCTGACCTAATTATTCATTCGGCTTATTTGTTAACGTTATCATACAACTTATGCTCTGAATTTCATCATTTCACTGTATACCACAGTTATCTTTTATTCTCATTTCCCATCCTAATTAACATTATCTCCTTATTATCGCCTACTAGAGAGTAATCAATTTCGTGGTAGTTATTTCCTCATAATCTACAACTCCCTAGTAGTGTATGTCTGTACGCCAAAACATAATGAAGCTACAAACCTCAGGTTTCATAGTGGGCACTATATTGATTACCTACTAGAATGAAATTCAGGGCGTTGAGTTTTCTAACTTTCATACTTTTCTGATATAGAGGGATCACGATTCCTACTGTTAGATATTTAATCTCCCTCTTCCTTCTCTCAATAACTTGCAATGAGTTGATTAAACACATCATGGCTACTATCGAAGTAAGCCACTAATAAACAAGAAGTCGCTGCATCAACAAGCAGTTTCTTTTTCTTATCGATTGACATGAGTTGATAACCAAAAAGTGTCATTATTCACATCAACCGATTCCACATAGATCGTGCAGCTGGAATTTAGGTAATTGTAATTCAATTCAGCATATAATAAATAGGGATAAACAGTTGTGACCAATTAAAACTTACAGTGATGCTTGAATAACCTGATAGTAGGGATATCAGTATGGTTATAGGTAAAATTAACCTTTTATTCATCATTCAAAGTGGATTACTATTCCATTCACAAAACAAGCTATCGACTGTGTTAACTGTAAGTTCACACTAAATCCTATTAAATATCCACTTTGTCAAAATGCATTTCAGCTAAATATTAGTTCAAGTTATTAACCGGTACTATATGTGTAAACACGACATGAAACGTTAAATCTAATCAATTTAAATGATCAAATTGTTTATGTTATTTCATTTAATACTTGGCATATGAATAGACTGAATATGAATGATGTCCCCTCCACTTTCACATTCACCCACGTTTAATTGGTGATTAACCTATGAACATCATAAATTTCAAAGGCAATATTTAATGAAGTTAAAAACTAAAAACCAATGGTTATTTTCAGTCAACATGCTATTCATAGACGAGGCATACATGAAAAATCTACCAGTAGCCTAAAATAACATCCTCTGTCAACACAGCACAACCAGTATATTTGTTGAATGATTATTCCGTCAATCAATATAATACGAAAATTACTTAACAATCAAATGACCATACTGTCAGATAGTGTGGATTTGAAAAAAAGGCTAATGCGTATCATCGATAGAACAAACCGAACAGCCCAAATTCCAGTTAATGATAAAGCAATGTGTGTAATTCAGCATACTTTGATCCTACATTCATATACCGGATTGTAATTCAGTCAAAAATACCAGTCAAGTGATAGGGAGTTGATAAACAATAATTATGGATTTTACGTAAGTCATGAAGATGATAAGTTTGAGAAATGAGGATGGAAATGATCAACCGAGTACTTATACGTGATTAAAAGTGGTAATTTTAATAAGATGAAACAGGCTATTCCTAATATACGACTGAATCTTGGGCACTGTTTTAGACTGTAATTCCACTGTAGTGTGTTTATTAGAAATGATATCCTAAGGTAAATTGAATAGTAAATGGTACAGCAAACGAAGTGCTTTTTGTCGAGTTGTCAGTCATTAACAATAAATAGTTATGTAAGAATAAGAAATCTAATGAATATTGATAGAAGAAGAGGTGTACAAAGTGATACTAAAAGTTAAATCATGTTGACGGCCACAGTAATGAAAGAAGTTCAAAGCACTTCTGCTATGTGAAATGAGTGAATGCTTTATCAATGTGGTAAATTCCTTCGCATACAATGAATAATTTAAATCCTTTACTAGTATCCACCTGATGTCCAGTGCCATCTAAGTGTACAAGTATAGATCTCTTTATTGTTCTGATTTCTCCCTTCTTCATCCATCATGTCTGGATATCAGAGATTCAACAATGGAGCTGCCTCATTGTATACCCAATGTAATTAGCTCCACTGGAGCAGTTGAAGTGATAAATGTATGTGAAAAGACTGAATCAGGCAGTCTGTTCTTAATTTTTGCGTCTACAACCGTCACCATCAATAAGGTGCAACCTTTATGATGACTTCGCACACTTCTTTTTCAATCAGTGTTCATTTGCTTTCTTATTCATAAGTAGTTATTTGGTGTTTATGACTGATCACTCGACGAAAGGCACTCTATTCTCCCCAACCAGTTACTCTGCAATTTACCCAGGAGTAACCTGTATCACATTATAAGAATTATCACTTTTAATCACGTATAATTACTCTGTTAATTATTTCCATCTTAATTTCTCATTTTCATGACACATAAAATCTATGATCAGTGTTTATCAACCCCCTACCACTTGACTGGTATTTTGACTGAGTTGTAAACCTATATTTTAATTAGTGTAGGGTCAAAGACGAAGACCTAATTGAAAAGGAATCTGATTCTTCACTCAACCAGTCTTCCTCTAAACATTTTTCCTCAGAGGTAATCTTATCATCTACCTAAGTCACTACATGGAAATGGAATGAGCTTTCAAAGCATTCTAATGAAGTTACGAAAAACACAAGCCGGTGATAACAGGGATTCCAACCACATGTCAGACTAAGGTCAGGTTATGCCATTGAAAGCAAATCATCACTGGGATGAAGAACTACTGTCCCAATATTTGCTTTCGATTCGATTCCTGATCATCGTGATTCCTTCGTTTTACTCTTATCAGTCCATTTTCCTTTCCAACACATAAAACATGCTGACAGAATATTGTGTCGAAAGACTTACTAATACTTGCCTCACAAATATATCCCATTCTCCACATACACTGGAACTTCTCATTACGCTATGTAATGTTATTAGGCGGTAGGGACACGAAATTTAGCGATTTATCTACTTAGACAACCAACTTCCACATTACCTTAAAAATAGCTAACAATCCCTTCATAAACATGAAATCACTTGCCAAGAATTATCCACACCAAAATACTTGACTCGTTGTGAAATCCAGTCTGCATCTTCAATATCTATCTAGTCGTTGGCACAACATCCCCCCCAACACTGCTTTCAAATCAACTGACCACCGACTTTGGAAATATGACTGCATAACTCTACATTTTGGGCTTCTTATATTCCTTTGATATCATGATTGAAACTATCTTCTGACCGATAGTATTGTATTCTCCATCAAATTACTGACTCCCATACCATGGTTAACTTGTATTTGCTTTCCACGCATCAGTTGTTCTGCTCACCTGAAAAGTCTGGTCTACATTGTTGGTGAGATGAAGACGGAACATTAACTTTTATACAGTTGGTGCACGTTATTGAAATCTAGAGTAGAGACAATGGTTGAGTTTGATTCGACTGTGAGTATCCACGGGAATCAGCCTCCGTTTATCTCTGTCAAGAAACTAAATCTACCACGCTTCACTCCACATTGTGAAAAAGAAGGCTGGGAACTTTCGTGAATCATTCTATCTTCACTACCTTTCCTGTGAGTGAATAATATTACCTTTCTCTTCGATACTTGACTGACAACAGAATGTAACCCTATCACGCTGCTAAAAACCTGCTCTTATAAATTTTAGCATAACACCCTTGTAACTAGTAGATATTTATGTATGGATAACACCAGTTGATGACTTGTAGCTTAGTCAGCTTGCACTCCTCAAATGATTATCCTTCTTTAGATTTGCGTGTTTATTACTGAAAACGAATTTGTCGAAAAGAGCCTCATTCGTTCATGTCAGACCTTAATACATGACATGGAATGTTTCAATATCTGAAATCATCCAACCACTTCATTGAAGTGTGGTATCGGTGAAGTAGTGTTTGCTGATATTTTATTAGGAAGTGATGATTTTGAAGGCGTTACTGACATTGGCCTTATTTCTGCTGTTCAACATTTGACAAGTGAAATATACTTGTCCACTAGTGTTTGTAGTTTACTCAAACTCAAACTTGCATGCTCAAATATTGCACACAAGGCACATAATTTAAATTATGATATTTCATTCGCGCATAATTCGTTAATCTAGGTGGTCAAAATGATCATACCAGCAGTCGATCACGAACCAGTTCAGTAGTGATATTTGTTTTTTTTGAGAAGACCGTTTTAGTAGCTTTACCATAGCAATTATTTTATTAACAAATCAGTATGTCTATTTTCAGCTTATAGGTCAAAATTAGGTCATCAAAAATGAAAATTCTTAACTTAGGATACGACTGTGTAATTTAAAGATGTATAAATATGCAGTTGATGACGGTGATAACTACTGGATAACGATAATCATAATATTTAAGACTAAGAGTAAAATGCAACTAGAAATCTAATTGAAAATTTCTGGCAACTAGTATAGATGCAGGAAAGTAGACCAAACGTCAAAAAGATACTACTATTGAAGAACCTGAATAGTTCGAAACCACTCAAACTGATTTCCAGATTTCACTAGCCTGATCAGAGTGATATCAACACCAGACAGTCATTTCGCTCTTTTGGAGCTAAGCTGATGTACGGTGTACCCGGATAAATTCAGCTCATGGAGCCGAATTAGTTCAGATCACCTGAATTTAGCTAACTGACTTCCATTGACCGGTATACCTGAAATAGGATGATCAATTTGCTAATGACATGGTCCACGTTGACTTACGTCATTAAAAATAAAGTGATTACTGAAGTAGTTAAGACAATCAAAAACAGATTATGGCAACAGTAAAAAAAGATTAAGCCTATCTTTTCCACATACAGGGTCTGGGATTTTATTGTTGGAATGCCAACGTGTCTGCTATACATAAGGGACTAATCCCCATTCCTTTCAAGCTGTTTAGCTTGACTTTGTATATGATTTTGAAGGATGATTATGGGGAGTTGACAGAGCCACATTTGATCAAATGGTCCAGGATGGAGCCATCTCATGGATTGTTTTCTCCTCTAGATAAAGAAGCAGGACAGTGCTCAAAGACCCTTTTGTGCTTCGCGTGCTTTACGTAACATGTTCCACAAAAAATAATTCAATTGACAGACATACATCATTCCGGACCAAAGCGGCAGTTCATCTTTCATGCCTACTTGTTCCGAATTCCGGCTGAAGAAGACCGTTTACAGTTCGGCAGCACAGAATTTTCTTCTGACTGCTTTAGAAAAACAATTCTTCAGTAGTTCTACAACGTCATTTCCTTTATATTCAGCACTCATGAATGCGGTCTTCTTAGTAACAGTAAGAACTTGTTCTTGTTGCTTTATCTGCCTTGCTTTTTTTGTAATGAATATTTGGGAGTAGACATTCAGAAACAGTACTTTTCATAGATTTCCTATCTCTTTGCTTGATGTTTTATCCATGCTTCAGAAGTCCATTCTTCTACCTAATTGGGATTTTAAATATATATTTCCTTTATCCAGTTCTATGAGTCCAAATTTCAATTCTGACTTCTACGATAAAATCTCAGTTAATCTGATTGACTTGACATTAAATTATCTCAATGAACAACAAAACTCCTACAGACGCAAATCTTAGATCGTGTGTTCAAGAAAGTGATCATCAGTTCACCTACCTATCCACTTTTTAATCGTACTCATGACTTGTGCACATTTACTGACGTTTGTCACCGTTATTTTCTGATTATGTTCATAACTACTGTCCAACATAATCTACGACCACTTTCGAGATACGTGAAGACATCATACAAGATTTTCAAATGACCGATGGGCCTTGTCAGCCATTTGGTATTCCAAATTAGTTTTCAAATATTCCTCCTTCTATTATAGCTCTTTTATGCATGTTCCATATTTAAAAGAAACTTTAATGAAATTGTGCTGGACCACAGAATCTAAATTCGACTATCAT